CCCCCCCCCCCCCGAATCTCTTGCCTTGAAAACACTACGGGGTCACCATAAGATGGCTGTGACTCTATGGCACTTTCCCCTACCCCCAGGCGTGGAAGACAGAGAGGGATTTATATCTCTTATCCTCAGGGGTGTCACAACTGATTTCCAGTGGATACCTATTCATGGTTGTGCAGGCAGTAACCTCGAAATTGGTGGAGGCAACTGGAGAAAGCTGAGAGGGGAGCATTTTAACCCACACTATTCAACTGTAGTTTTGAGTGTAGGGCCCTCTGCTACAAAGGGGGAAAGTAGGTGAGATGTGGCGTTTGAAACAGAACATTCTCAAGTGTGCAACTGCATCCTTGAGCAAATGTACAACCTTTGAGTTTCCTGCATTGTGCAGGGGGTCGGACTAGATGACCCTGTAGGTCCCTTCCAATTCTGTGATTCTTTAAGATGCTTCCAGATTCACCCTTTCAAGCTTTGTATTACTAGCAAGAGGATTAGAGACGTGGAAGTCTCATGGTTTCATTTGATTCCATAGAAGCCATGTTTTCCTCAGCCTTTGTGAACTGACCCAGCCCTTCTAATGCACAACATCACTGTCCCTTCATCCTCATCTCTGGTCTGTAGTATATGGCAAAATGCAAGTGAAGAAGTTAGAACTCTTATAAGGATGCCTTTGGCTCCTGACTTGTGGCCTGGACTTTGGAAACCCTGATACTCAAATTGTTACAGGCCTGTCGCCAGTAAGATGTGCCAAAATTAGTGCTCCACTACCTCTCATTCCTGTTTGTAGCAAAGTGAGGCACAGGGTCTAGTCAGCTCTTCTAGTCATGGCATGTTTCTTCTTCTTGCAGTGTGTCTCACATCAAAAGCTCTCGCTCTCGTGATGGAGGACCGAATGCTCCGCTGGGCAGACAGAGCAGGCGTTCTGAATCTCTGCAAAAGGACGTGAGCCTTGTAGCTCAGGTGAGAGCAGGCTCTTTGGCCCCTGGACAGATGCTTTGGCCTTTTTTTTCTTCTTTTTGCTCAACTCCAGGGCAGAGGTGATGATGGCCATCTTTGCCATTCTCAATTTCCCTGTTTGCTTTGGCCTAAACACTGCCAACCTTGATCTTCTGGCTACACTGCTTTTATTTACACCCCAAATTGGGGCGGGGGGATACTTCTGGACTGGCTGCATTTGTTCATACGGCCGCATGCGTCTACGGTGCTTTCAGCCGGCCGATTCACAACTTTCTCTCTTTTTCTGTCTCTTCCAAAATGCTACCTGTTGTTCCTTTCTCCCTCTTATACCCACGTGTACACACATACACATTCTCTGTATGTGTCTCTTTCTCACACACACATAGACACAAACATCCACCCTTTGTCTTCAGCTGGGGGACCAGAGCATCGTCTTCTCCAGGTTTGGACGGGTAAAAAACATTCAAATACACAAGAGACTCCTAGCCTGTAACGAAGCCGTCTCCTAACCAGTAGCACTCATCAGCTTTTCTGAACTATAAGGGCCGACATATCAGGTTGAGGAATCCTACAGAGAAGTCTGATTCAGTTGTCACAGTCAGACGGCAGCTGTTGGGAACTAAGTTCCCAAGTGCCACAGGTGCAACGACGAGTGGGGCTTCAGCCTTCTTCACTGCACTGTTTTCCTGACCCAAAGTGACCCTGGGTAGTGTGGTTTGCCAAATCTGTATATGCAGTAGGCAGTAGGCAGGGTAACCCCAACTTGAATCATGACCAAACATATGGCCTTAGGAAAGGAAGAGTCAAGCAAGCAGTAGTTAAAACACATACTAACATGTTCTTTCTCTCACACTCTCTCACGCAAACAGCCATATAACACTGCCCATTAACGCAAAATGTTCTTTCTCTCACACTCTCTCACGCACTCAGCCATATAACACTGTATACAAAAACATGCCCATTAACGCACAAGTCATGCAGAGGCATACTGTCATACACAGCTGCACACAGGGCCATGCACATTCTGATGTACTCCTTCCTGCTCCTTGCTTAGGAGTGCTCAGGGTGGGGAGCAGCAGTGGAGGGGAGGGGCACATCACTGATCCTTGTTTCCCATGCTCTTCTGGGAACTTGTGCCCCCAAAACTTTGCTTCCATCCAGAAAGAAGCCCCTTTGCTGGTGATTATGGCTACTGGAGAGTATCTGGGGGAGCATGAGAAACAGGTTGTGGTCTCATGAACAGGGTCCATGGGCTCTCTCTCTGTGTGTGTGTGTGTGTGTGTGTGTGTGTGTGTGTGTGTATGGGGACCAGTATGGGCCTGGGCTTCCTCAAACTTATCCGGAGCAGTGGATGCTGTTACTTTAGAGGCTGAGAGGTTTGAGAAACCTGCGAGAAGCTTGCTGAACATAACTTCTATGCCATGTTGCAAACTTTCGCTCTGACAAACTGCCTCTTTGAGCTGCCCCTCTTGAGAGGTGCTGTAGCAGTCCACTGAAGCTCCTCCGTTTCCTAGGGAGTAACCAAGCCACATGGAAGCCTGAATGGGTTCTCTGACAGCTCCTCTGAGAGTACTCTAACATTGGACTCTCTTTGCAGGCACGCTTCTCCCTTGGCATGTTCTGTGTGTATCCTGGATTTGGATCCATCCCCCCGGGTGGCCAGATGGTTGTCAATGTGGATTGCTTTGCGGATTCCGTTGGGAAGTCTGAAGAATACATGACGATTGAGATCTCTGACAGAGACCCGGAAGACAACCCTGCCGGCATTCTGTACACGCTGATTGCAGAATCGTGTGTCCCAGGTAAGGGGAGCCACAGAGCCATCGCTGCCGGAAGAGTAAAGTCCAGCCAATGGGGGTCAATGAAGGGACAGGTGCTAATCCGAGAGCCAGGAATGCAAATGCCAATAGCCCTGCCTGCTGGCTTCCAGGCAAAGATTCTGTTTGCCTGCCCACCTCACCACCTAAGAGCCACACTGTATGTCACTGCTTATCCTGAATGCTTTCATGCATTTTCAAGTGCTGGAGAAGACTCTTGAGAGTCCCTTGGACTGCAAGAAGATCAAATCAGTCAATCCTAAAAGTAATCAACCCTGACTGCTCCCTGGAAGGCCAGATAATGAAACTGAAGCTCAAATACTTTGGCCACCAAATGAGAAGGGAGCACTCACTGGAGAAGAAGACCCTGATGCTGGGAAAGATTGAAGGTCAAAGAAGACGGGGACGGCAAAGGATGAGATGGTTAGACAGTGTCATAGATGCAACGAACATGAAATTGAGCACACTTCAGAGGACGGCGGAAGACCTGAAGGCCTGGCGTGATCTGGTCCATGGGGGCGCGAAGAGTCGGAGTGGACTGTGCAACTGAACAACAACAGCAACAAGTGTGGCTGTTGTTGACCCTTGAACCTGGGTCAGAGAATGGGATCCCTGAGCTCTCTTTCTTGTCTTTTTCCCAGGCTTTGTGACTGATGAGGTCAGGTCTATATTTGAGGAGTATCAGATCTGCAACAGCAGCTGCCTCAACCAGGTGCTGAAGGGCCCAGGCTGTGAAGGTGTCTTTGTGACAGATGAGAACAAATTTCTCTTCAATAACGTCCTAGTTGGGCACCAGGCAACAGCCCATTTCAAGATCAGCAACCACGGTCGAATCCCCTGTGATGTGCTTCTTGCCATCAAACCAATCTCCGCCAAGGTATGTTTGTATCTAATTGGCTTTCATCCCCTTTATGCTGTTCTCACTTGAATTATGAGATTTTGTTTAACCTAATAAATCATGGAATAAGTCAGTAAATGAAATAAGGATTTAATGAGGCCCAGCATAGGTTAAGCAGAAGCACAGAGTAGGTTTTTGAAAGTGCTGAATTGTTTTGCTGCCCAAATGTGCTTGTAGCAAATGCGTGATGTATCAGTGCCCTCTACTGGTGCCATTTCCTGTAAAGCTAAACAGAAGTCCAGCGGCACCTTAAAGACTAACAATATTTATTCCAGTTTTCCTGAGCTCTCCTAAGTCAAAAGCTCATGGTCTCAGATACAAAGCTGTTTATCACAAGACAGGCCGATAGGGACAATTCAGTTCAGCTTCATGTCCTGCCTTGTATTAGAGAGATCCTTAAAGCTGTGTGGATGTTTCCTCAGTCTCCTATTCGTATCAGTGACATCTTTGAGGTCCACCCTGCACGGATGTCCATTGCTAGCCGTTCGCATGCCTTTGCAACTGTGACCTTCTTGCCACAAACGATGCAGAACTACCAGTGCATTTTTGAGGCTTCTCTTGATCCTGTGACCAGGTAATTCCACCATGGCTCACTGAGAGATCTCTTCTCTAGGGTGGTCTTTTCCATGTGTGCGCCAGAGCAATGTTTCTCCTGTTGTTTGCTTTTAGCATGGCCGCTAAATCAAAGAATTTATCATTTGAGATCACTGGGGACGGAAACCTTCCACAAGTTACCATTGTTCGCCCTGCACTCCGCAATAAAAAAGGGAACCCGCTTCTTCTCTTTAAGAAACTTCTGTTGGGCAATTCAGAGAAACTCCCTCTTGTCCTTAAGAACAGTGGCAGTATCCTGGTCCAGGTAATTAATTGCTGGCAAATGGCAAATGCAGAGGTAGTAACAGCAAACAAAAATGATAGAGCAGTGTTGTGGGGCAGGATGTTAACTTCTATCTGGCTGACCGCACTGAATCAATCACCCATTTCTTGCACTTGTTGCTTTCAGTGGCTTCCACCACTCACCTCCGCACAAATGCACCAGCTTCATTAAAAAAACAAGGCAGCTTGGAAAGAGGCCAGTGGGAACTGGATCAGTGGACACTACGCCATCCATGGGGAATCACTTTTTAATATACACTTTTAAAAACAGTATTCTAAAATGTTTTCCTGGGAGTACCCCTATCTTGCTATTCTCATCTTGTTCCTTTTCCTAGCTGCATCTTGATATGTCAGATGAACATGGAGCTTTCATGCTGAAACATAAGCCCAGCACCAGCTGCATTTATGTGTCTCAGGGTGAAGAGAATGAATCCAGTGAGGGAGGTAAACACAACTGCCATGGCAAATAAGCACTATCTACTGAACCTTGCAGTAAGAGATGGGGGCTAAGTGTGGCACCTTCCGCCTTTTTAGCACCGCTGTCCAGAACACCATTTAGCATCAGTAGACTGCATGAAAGTGTCTGCAGAGAAATAGTATGAAACCTCTTTGGTTAGGGGTCAGGTGCACCAAAATCCTGATCACATGATCAACGAAGAGATAGTATAAGAAGCCCATTTGCATAACTGAAAATACACAGTTTAATATTACTGATAATTGACGTGTTGATTAAGAATCCATAAAGTCTCTGCTGCACTGTTGCAAGTCCTTTATTAGGTAGCTGCCCATACAAGGTCTCACAATAAATATACACAGGAGCACCCTGCACAGTGCAGTGGAGTAATCCTGCACATGGTTTGTTCTTGGATTACTGGCAACCATTCACCTCTGTCATTTCCCTTTCTGTGAAGTAGCTCTAAGAAGCCGTTTTATGCCTTAAACATATTTGCCTGCCATTCCCTGTACCGATTATTCTAGCATTCCACCTTCTCCTCCAAAATACCATAATGGAAAGATTTCATTTTCTTTTAAAGAGTCATATTTGGTTCCAAATGGAGATATATTTGGCTCTAGAACCATAGGCTGCAACCTCCCTGTCTTTTAAGGCAAAAACTCAGCCCGCTCTTGGAAGGCTTTGCTTTCCTTTTCCCCCAGCCTAGGTCTTTATTCCATGGCATATGGGAGAAAAGTCTTTTGTAGCCCCTAATGGTTGCATTGCTGCTCTGCTCCTGCTCTTCATAGGCAGGAAACCTCACACGGCCTCCCTGGTCCTGCACAATGGGGAATCAGCTGAGTTCGATGTGGTTTTCCAACCCAATGCGACCCAACAACTCGAAGGGCTGATCCACCTCTCCATCATGGACAACCAGTATGAGGACACCACCATCCAGATGGTAGGTGAAGGCTACCAGGACGATGTCACACTGGACAACATAACCAGCTTGGTGGAAGAGGGTGATGGGGAGAATGCTGAAAGACACCTGGAAGAGGACATAGCAGAGGGTGAGTAAAAGGGAAAAGGGGTCAGGCAAGATGTGGTCCCATTAATGGCGTTCTCTCAATCAACAACATTGTGATAGTCCCCACCAGTATACTATTGGGAGTAAAAGTGATGATGATGAATGCAGAGGGACTCTGTTGATCCCTGAATATTTCATTCTGTGTTGGATTTTTTTAGCGGAGCTGTGCTGCACAGCTATAATAAAGTGAATACAGACACATGTGTATATTACCTTATAATAAAAGTTTACTAGAAAACAGAGGAAGGGTTACATGGAAGAAAAATAACAACATCCTAACTAACTTGTTCGAAGCTCCATCTTGTCTTCTTAATTTTTAGCTCGCTTCTGAGTAAGAGAACAAAGGAGAGGAAGTTTACCCCCAAAGCCCCCACTTCTTGTGTATGTGACAAACTGCATGTAGCGTCTCCAATTTATTGATCAGCCAATAGACATACCCAAACTCATTTCATTAGGAATAGTACCTCCTATTCTCTGGCAGGGGAAAAAAACCTGCCTAATACCTAATTGCTTCTATGCGAATTAACTAACATTAACCTGCATAAACAACAGTTTAACTCTTTCGTGACTGAAGTGTGACATTTGCAAAATCCCAGCAACCTGGCATGTCCTACCACAATCTGTTGAGGTGAAGGCAGGGAGCAAGGTAGATCTCTCTCACAGTCCACCAGGTTTCTTGGTACAACCTAGACTCCATGTTCAGGTGAGGGGAAACTGCTGTGATCTTGGGCTTCCATTGCCCTCACCGGGTGCTTTATCACTCAAAAGATTCCATATTGATTTAGGTACTTCCTGTTGGGTACACGGGACACCTAGTTGTGCTAGGGACTGCTGCTCGTTTCTGTGACATTTAGTTTATGGAGTCTTGCAGGCTCCATCTTGTTTCTCTTGTGGTTAATCATCTGTATGAAACAGCTGAGAGTTATATGAAACAGCTGGGAGAAATTGTCCAGGGGGTCTGGACTGATCCATCATTGTTATGCAAAAGATACACAGCTTCTAATTTACCTTGTCAGCAGAGGCTGGTGTGCTGGTGGAACTTTCTGAAGAACTGGCTAAACTAGACTGGATGAGGGCCAGTAAACTGAAGCTCAGTCCAGACGTCCAAATACTTAGCCATTTTCCCCTCAGGTGCCAGAATGGATTGTATCCAATTTGGAGACTGTCACATTGGAAAGGTCTATCAAACAACGTTCACAATAACCAATCGCAGCAAGTCAGATGTGGTGAGATTTGAATGGCCCACTTGGGGCCCACTTCAGTTCTCCCCACAGGTATGTAGCAACCCATTCCTCTTTTCCTATTCTCTTTTGCAGTCAAAGATTTCACAGTATTTTGGAAGAGTGAGGTGCTAGAATAATTGGTGTGCTAACCTTTACCTTCTAGTGTTCCCTGGATGTTTCTTATTGAGTCATTGAGTCCTTCATTCATAAACACAGAAGTGTTGTAACCACTTCCCTTTGTTATAGTCTCAAGTTACTTGTGAATGAAATGATGCAACCATCAGAGCACTCACAATCAGTTCTTCCACCAGGGTTCCTTATTGCAGTCTTCATTGGTTCAGATATAAGAACATGTGTGCTGAATTAGATCAATAGACCTTCTACTCCATCATCCTCTTTCACCCAGTGGTGAACACGGTTCCCCTGGAAGGCTCACTGTCATAGCCCAGATACCAAAACATACCCTTGTTATGCCCCCTCCCCACCCTGGTGTTCTGAAGGTTACATTAATTTAGTCATCATGGCTAATAACTATTTAAGCACCCTATGTTTAACAGTATCACAGGCCTTCTTACAGTGTTGTTTGTGTACCATGCTATGATGCTAAATGTAATTTGTTCCTTCAAGTCACCATTTTGTGACTGGCTTTGCCTACCAAGCTGCTATTTTTGTGAATTGTAGCTCCAAATGCTTGGGGTGGGGGACAGATGGCTCCAAGAATCCTAAAGTCTATCTTCCCTTCTTGTATGGGATGGGGATAGGAATGATATGGGACAATGGGTGAGAAATAGGGAGGAATAGGACTTTATGGTAGGAATAGTGATGTGGAACAGGGAAGAAGGAGGCCGAGAGAGAGGAAAAGCAACCCAAGAGAGGAAAAAGAGATAGAGGGAGAAAGGAGAAACAAACAATTTAGGGGAGGCAGAGCAGATGCTTGCAGAAGTTGGGAAGGATTGTTTCTTATGTGCACCCAATCAACTCCTTGCCTAAGAAGCTTCCATATAGCGCTGAATTTAAGGGGCATCTAAAGAGCAAGCAAAAAGCAATCTGCAACGTTTTATTGTGGGTCCCCATTTGCCATATTTCTATTTCCTGATGCTTTTCAATGCAGGGATTTTATGGTGTCTCCTCCAGGGAGTTGTGGCAAGTTATTACTCTCCATGACATAGCAGCCTGGATTAACTTCCTGAGAAATTCCAGACTATTATTCACTCTGGGTCCTTAGTTACCTGTAGAGACTGAAGACACTTCGGGCATAGGCCTTGTACGTGCCCATTGCTTGCTGGTGACTAAAAGTATTCTGACCTGCAGGTTTTGTGGTGCATGGACAGCCTGAATATTTGGCATTTGGTATCTGGCTCACAGGCTGAACCAGGGGTCTGTGTACCGAATGGTGCTTTTGAGCTAAGTAGTTGAGATGTCAGCATGACTGGAGGGAGATCTCACAGGAAGGCTGGACTCTCATGGCATAGAGTTTCCATCCTTCAATGGGGGCCTAGAGATCTCCCAGAATTAAAACTGATGTCCAGACTACAAAGATCAGTTCCCCTGGAGAAAGTGGCTGCTTTGGAAGATGGACTTCATGGCATTTAAAACCTGCTGAGGTCCCTCCTCAAATTCTACCCACCCCACATCTCCAGGAATTTCCCAATCTGGAGCTGGCAACCCTATGGGTGCAAACATTGTCTACCTTTCAGCGACATTGAATGAATCCTTGGTGAAGTGCAAGGTGTTGCTTTCAGCGACATTGAATGAATCCTTGGTGCAAGGTGTTTTTTTTAAGAATTATCATTAATATGCCCTAGTTCGGCCTTGGGTGATAATGCAGCTCATGATGATAAAAAGGTCTGCTTTATTCTCACATCCCGTATCGTGCCACAGACTAATGCTCTGCCCGTATCCCGTGCCATAGGTTGGCCATCTCCATGCAGGATGCTCCAAACATATCATCCTGACCTTAAAATCCAGCATGCCCATCACCTTCAAAGCTCAGCCGATCAAGTGCAAAGTTTGCAAGATGGCCTTCCAGCAGCCTGCTGAGCAGGTGCCAGATTGGGACGATTCCATGCACACGGTCAAGTGGGTTGACGTTTCGAAGACAGGCCCACCCACACGCCCATCTAAGAAGAAGGTAAGAAACAAAGAAGGGAAAAAACAGTCTTCAGACTGGCCAACTAGGCATCCAGAAAACTGGGATTCTGGGCTCATGATTGTTTGTTTGTTGGTTTACTTACGTGATTCATAGTCCACCTTTCTCACAGGACACAAGGCAGATTACACATAGTGAGTCAGTATAATCAACAAAATGGGCCATTCAATAATTGATGCATTACGATTTTAGAAGCCTGGAACCACCAGAAAGAACTGAAGCATAGCATGAATATTCACATGCCACATTAAGCCTGTACAGAAATTACATAAATTGGATCCTAGTTACAGTAAGCTCTGAAAGAACTTTGTAACTGTCCCAAGGTCACACTAGCAGCTGCATGTGGAGGAGTCCAGAAGTTGAGACCAAGTGCCCCTTGTATGAGTCCTACTGGACATCCTGACACCATACTGGACATCCTGAGGCCTTCTCTGGGCTGCTTGCGATTGTCTGTTGCTCTGCTCTTGGTCTAGGTGATAGAGACTGACCCCGAGCCTGTTCACACTGTTGTGGAAGAGAGTGGACGGGAGCTGGAGCTTCAGGTCAGCGCCACCATCGATTATGCCCAGTATAAGATGGAGGTGGAGCCTGTTCACTTCAAGGAGACCCTGCTTTTCCAGACACGAGTGTTCAAGTGAGTCGGAAGCACACAGAAACTTGCTCAGAGGCTGCCTTCACACATTTCCCCCTTGATCTGAAGGTGGTTCTTCTAGGTCACAAACGATGGTCTCTTTCAATAGAACATACCGTGTTTCTTTCCTCCTGTAAGGTATCACAGCTCCCCACACCCCAATCTGCACAGTGCACCCCCCCACCAACCCCCCACCAACCCTTCCTCTTGTGCCTCTGCTTTAGGCCACCTTGTTTTGTTTTTTTCCAAGCCTTCAAAGCACTGCTCCTTTGTGTAACCACTCAAAATTTTACTTGTCACCATATTTTGTTTAAACTGTGTTTTTTTAAACTCACAAAGCCGCTCTGCGGAGGGCACTTGTGATCCTGAAAGCATCGGCCCATTATCGCTCTGATCTGTTTGGTTCTGGCACGACCAGCAGAACCGCTGGAACTTGAGCCCAACCCTGGGGAAGATAAAGTCCCCTTCGGGGAGGGTGATTTTGTTAATGCACCACTGCAGGCGACCTAATTCTGTGCTAGAAAGTTAATTTCCCACCCCCTTTCTTTCTGCCTTATGGCGCTGCCAGAGTGGAACTTTTCAATACTGGAACTGTGCATCTGGAATACTTCTGGAAAGTGGTCATGGAGGACAGCGGGAGGGCAGTCAACTTTGCTACGGAACTCTTGCCAACAAGCCCAGAAGGTACAGCAGCCGTCTTTAAGCACACTTCTTATCCACCAACATCCCACTGCCTTGGGAACCTCAGGGCCCTCTCCCTCACTGTGACAGTCTCCTCAGAGTCTTCCGTTTGTGATCTTAATCCAGCCCCTTCTGGCCCCATCCTCCATTCTGTCGTAACACCACCCCTCTGAGATAGGCTAGGCTGAGAGTATGGGAGCAGCCCAAGGTGGTGGTGGTGGTATTACTATTGTTGTTGTTGTTAGGCTCAGGACGGCTTACAATGGAGCAAATACAATAAATAATTCGAGTTAAAAACAACGTTATAATACATATAACATACTAGCAAATAGAACAATACACTGCCCAAGATGGCGGAAGAGAGATTTTAATTTCCATAGGCCACCGGGGGTGGGGGTTGCAGAGGGTGTGTGTGTGTGAGAGAGTCCCAGATATTATACTACTAACCTAGCAAGATTCTATGGCAGAATGGAGATTTAAACCTCAGTTACCAAGATCCTGGTCTGAAACTCTGACTACTGCACCGTGCTGGCCATGTGACCCTCTCTCTTCTTTTCAGATCCTACTGGACATGCATTTCATAATTAGAGCATGTTGGAGGAGCAGGAAGCAGACACTGTAATATTCCCCCATGCATGCTTTTGAGAGCCTGCCAACCTAGCAGTTCGAAAGCAAGAAATTGCAAGTAGATAAATAGGTACCACTTCGGTGGGAAGGTAACAGTGTTCCGTGCACCTTGGTGTTTAGTCATGCCGGCCCCATGACCACGGAAATGTCTTCGTACAGCGCTGGCTCTTCGGCTTTGAAATGGAGATGAGCACCGCAACCCTAGAGTCGGACTCGACTGGCTTTCAAGCAAGGGAACCTTTACCTTTTTTACTGAAGAGTCTGACCATTGGTTCAGATTTCTGCTTTCCACGTCAAGTGCCTGCTACTGTCCCCATCGGAGGCATAGCACATACCATAGCACATGGGCTATGGTAAACTTGTCCCAGAGTCCCAGAAAGATGACTTTCTTGGTAGGCGGGATCTGCTTTACCCATGATGGAAGGGAGGGTGGTGGTGGATAAATGAAAGGGGTTTGAATGACACTGCAGCATTTGTTTACAAGAAACTACTGTCTCAACACGCTTCTCCTTCCCTGCAGGGGAACTTCCATCTGCTCCATCAGGTCTTTCCGTCAAGTCCCAGTTCAGCCGACCACTCAGCCAGCTGGAGAGCGTTTTGGATAGCTTTTCTTCCTACCTGTTCCCTGCAGTTCCCCGCCCCCCATTCTCCATGGAGCCCAGTTCTGGTATCATCCCTGCTGGGAGTTCCCAGGTCCTTCAAGTGAAATTCTCTCCCCTGGAACTGGGAGAGTTCGAAGGTCGCTTACTCTGCAGGTAACAAGGCATCACGCCGGTGGTGTCATGGGGAGAATGGGGTTGGGCAAGTCCTGGCCTTTCCTCTGCCCATGTTTTATGGCGCAAGCCTGCCCAGCTTTGGCACAGAATTGGAACTGAGTGAATTTGATTTGGGTTTATTGCATCGGTGGCTATTTTAACTTGTGTAATCATTCCAGTGGGGTAGCCACCAGGCTACCCCACTACATTAGATCATTTCGGGGGCCCACTACGTTACCCCACTACATTAGATCATTTCGGGGGCCGGCCTCCCGACTTTCTGTCAGGGCCCCCCAACTTACTACCCTGGACAGGCAGGCAGGCAACCATGCAGGCCCCGGATGAGATGCGCTTGCCGGCCGGCCAGTGGGCAGAGTGCCTGGCGGCCCAGTGCAGCCCTCCTCCCTCGCCTCACCTCACACCATGGTGCTCTCCTTTGCCCCCGGCTGGGCTGCTCCCGCTGTTGCCTCGCTGTCTCCGTCCCCAGCCAGTCCCTCCCACGCCGGGCAGAGCAAATGTGTGCCCCTGCCTGCCTGCCCGCCCGCCCGGGCACTGACAGTCGGGATGGGACGGTGAGTGGGTGCGGTGGGGGCTGCGGACCCTCTTTCTGGAGCGGGAAGTGGGGCCCCTGGAGGTAGGGTGTCTGACCACAGACTGGGTGGGCATGCTCCTTCATCCCAGGTCTCCAGGATGACGACTCATTCTTCAGGCCTGGAGCGCAAGGAACTTCAAAACCCGCCCCCCCCCCAGCGCACCAGGACTCAGTCGGGGCTGGAAGGCAACTCTTTGGAAGGCCCTGATTCGAAACCTTTTTATTTTAATTTCAGTGCCCCCTGAATTATTTAAAGGTGCCCCTGATTTAACAAATCCTGGCTACGGGCCTGGTAGCCACGTTCGTTTATTTTAGCAAAACAAAACAGAAATCCAGTGGAACCTTAAAGACTGACAGAACTTTTCTTTGCAGATACAATAATAGAAACAAAACACCCTTATTACTGAAAATCACAGAAGGAAAGGAGGAAAGAGGAAGAAGTTGAGCAGAGAGAGGCCTAATATAACCACACTTGATTCATCTATATATCTAATAGCCAAGTTGCCCCCGGAGTGCGGATCGCTAAATCAGCGCTCCGGGGGCACTTGGGGGAGAGGGGGAGGTTTGTGCACACGTGGGCCAGTCCCCACGTGTGCACAAAAATGCTAAAAGAAAAAAAAATCAGGGCAGCCAGGTAGGCAGGCCCCTGACCATATAGGGCTTTAAAGGTCAAAACCAGCACCTTGAAACTAATCTGGTATGCTATAGGCAGCCAGTGAAATCCTTCAGCACAGGCCGAATGTGCTCTCGTATAGAGAGGCCCATCAGCAGCCTGGCTGCCGCGTTTTACATCAGCTACAGTTTCCGGATTTGGGACAAGGGCATCCCCATATTATACTTATTTATCATATGGAAAAGGGAAATGGTATATAAGCCCATGGGTGGGAAGGCTGATTGGCATTTGCTTGATACTGCTGGACTTTTTTCTTTTCAGTATTTATAACCTGAAGCCTGAAGAGGAAGGCCCAGCGGTGGCTGTAAAGGGGAAGAGCCTCCTGCCTTACTGCCATTTTGAACTGGAAGACTCCGATTACATCACTGCAAACAGACGCAATTCAGACCTGCGAGGACCTGGGGGGGCAGCCCTGGATCCGAGCACAAAAGTGATTGAATTCGCATCCCTAGGAGTGCACCTTAGAAACACCAAGTGAGCATCCGTTGGCATTCTATTCCAGCATCTGACTTGAAAAATCTGTTGGCATTCTGGGTGATTCTCACCAGCTAGAAAAGCCAAACTGGCCTTGGCTAGCTCAGCTGGGTTGTCACCCAATTTATTTATTTATTTTGTTTTTTAATTTATACTTTCGATTTATATTCCGCCCTCCCCAAATGGGCCGGCTCAGGGCGGCTTACAACAGGTTAAAAATAACAGAATAAATACAGTAAAACATGGATACATCGACAAAGCAAAAAGCAAAAATCTAAAATTCAATCAAGCAATCACATTTATAAGTAAAGTGCTGTTGCATCTAGAAGGCGGAAGCGTCTCCAAGGTTATGTCAGATGGTAAAGAGTACACTGTGGCCATACCCATGTCATTAGCTGTTCTTGTTGTTCTGAACATGGGGGCCTTAACTGTTCAGTTGTTAGCAGTTCAGATGTTGTCCATGTGTTGGTGCTAGTGGCGGCTCCTAATCGAAGGCCTGGTGGAAGAGCTCCGTTTTACAGGCCCTGCGGAACTGTAAAAGATCCCACAGGGCCTTGATGTCTTCTGGGAGCTCATTCCACCAGTATGGAGCCACCACTGAAAAGACCCTGTCCCTGGTCAAGGCCAATCTGGCGTCTTTCGGCCCAGGGAGAGCCAGGCAGTTTTGTGACCCTGACCTCAGTGTCTCTGGGGAACATATGGGGAAAGGCAGCCAGGTAGGCAGGCCCCTGACCATATAGGGCTTTAAAGGTCAAAACCAGCACCTTGAAACTAATCTGGTATGCTATAGGCAGCCAGTGAAATCCTTCAGCACAGGCCGAATGTGCTCTCGTATAGAGAGGCCCATCAGCAGCCTGGCTGCCGCGTTTTACATCAGCTACAGTTTCCGGATTTGGGACAAGGGCATCCCCATATAGAGAGCATTACAGTAGTCTAGTCTCGAGGTGACCATAGTGGTAACTTTTGCCAGGTCATTGTGTTCGAGGAAGGGAACTAACTGCCTGATCAGCTGAAGATGGTAAAAGGTTGCTCCCAAGTTTTTTGCAGTCCAGATATTTATTATGTACTTCTTTAATATGGGTTTCCTGTAAACATACTATACTTAATTTTAATTTTGTTACTTGATGAAAATTTTTTTTCCTTCTCTGTGGGCTATTCAGCAGCCCGTTAACATTCACCGACAATAAGGATAATTTTTTAGTGGCCATCTTGTGTATCTTTTTTTGCCTTTACTATATTCCTCAATTGCAATCTGGTTCTTATTTGGGATTCCGTTTTGTATCTTAGTTGCTGTTTCTTTTTTTCCTTGTAAACTTCTATTCCTTGCGTTCCCAGATCCTCATCTCGGCCTGTTGCGCTGGCTTGTTTATTACTTTTCTCTTCTTCTTCTTTCTCTTCTTTTCTAACTCTCTGCCAGCCCAGGTCTTCCCCTTCCTTCTCAAGGAAGTTTTCCAGTTTGAAAATGGAATCTATTCTGAATCTTCGTGTTTTATAGGTAAATAAAACACCTTCAGGTACCAACCATCTATATTGTATTTGGTTTTCCCTCAAGAGGCTAGTAAGTATGTCATAGTAGCGGCGTTTCTCCCTCACCCTCCAGGGAATTTCTTTAAGCACTTTTACTTCCGCTCCCATTATTATTATTTTTTTATCATTTACTGTGTGTATAATTTGATCTCTCATTTTTTTCTTGTGGAATTTAACGTGTACCTCTCTTGGGAGTTTGTGTTTTCTCGTATAATTAGAATTTTTTCGTTGTATCGTTTCTATATCCTCATAGATTTCTTTTTCATTTTCCAACTCCAATTGTTCAACCATTGTTTTCACTAATACTTCTTTTAGGTCTCTTTCTACTTTCTCACTTACATTTTGAAATCGCAGCATAGTTTCAGCTTTTTCCATTTCTAGTACAATCATTGTTTGCTCTAACATGTCCACCTTTGTTTTAACCTCCTGAACTTCTTGATCCATATCTTCGACCTTTTCTTCTAGCACTGTTGTGTTTTCAATGATTTTTTTAATATCTGCCTTTATCTCCAGTGTGTCTGATTTTAATTTCTCTGAAATTTCATTAATTTTTTCACGCAGTGGCTCTATCTCTTTTTTAATAGCTTCTCCTGTCTGTTGTGCCGCTTGTTGAAGATAATTTGACATTATCATTTGCAGATCTGACAGTGATACTAGTTGGGTGCCCGCCTTTAATTGGGCTAAACCGCTCCCTTGGCTAGATGGTGGTGTTCCTATTTTTTTCTGCGTGCCTGATGCCATTTTATTTAGCTCCTCGAGTTAGTATTAAATAGTATTAAATAAGTATTTAGTGGTAGTAGTTGACTGTTCTGTTTTCAATTACTAATCACTACTTACGTTCCTCAGCACTTTTTTCCCCTTACTAAGTATTTGTACCATATATATATATATATATTTTTCAGTGTTACTATGCCTTTAAATCACTTCCCTTGCACCTCTACACCGATACTCCTGTTCTTCAGTCTCTATCAGGCGGACCCGTTGATTTTCTAGTGTTAATTAGGTCTCTCTCACTGCATACGCAGTCTCTCAACGCAAATAGCGCAGCTCCAGTCAAACACGGCACTAGGTGGATGCAAACGTCGCTCTCCCCACGCAATTAACACTTCTCCAGACGTATATTCAACGCAGGCGCAGCAGCGCTCCCCTGGACTTAAGCCTCCCTCGACGCAAACGCCGTCTCTCGACGTAATCAGGGCTTCTCCAAACGTGCACAGCACTCGAAGGACGCAAACGACGCTCGCCCCACGTAGGTTGCGCTTCTCGGCGCCGGCGCAGTATCGCTCCGTTGCCAGCGGCTTCCTCCCCGATCTCGCCGATGAGCCGCGCCTCCTTCCTGGTCGACACCTCACTCGAGCCGCTCCTTACCGGTCAGGTCACTCTCCACTTGGATCTTTTAAAGGGATAAATACCAACAGCTGTAGGTAATGAACATATATCACTTCCTATTTTTGACCTATATAGTCTATATCTGTTATTAGTTTCCTATATTTTCCCAATTATATTTTAGTTCCGCGTTCTTCCCCCTCCTGTTTTAGCTCTTACTGAGTATCTTGTTGCAGCCTAATTAAATCCAACGCTACTTTCCAGTTTCACCCCGTTTTTAACACGTTAGTTTAATTAGAAATATCCTTAGTCCTGAACTGTGTTAGTTTTGGATATATTACTGTTTTATGGTAATACTTAGCTTCGGCCAGTCGTTCTTTTTTTTCTGTTTGTCCCCCGTTGGTTGTCTCGTTTCTCGGCTAATCCCAGGCGGACGATTCTTCTCGCCGTCTTGGGTCCTTTCACCTCCTTGCCTCAGGACAGCTTTCCTTGCTCTCAGAGAGCTGCCACGTCTCTGAGTGGAAAGCCCAAGTCCCCTGCTAAAGCTCTTTCTTCATGTAAGAGCTTTGGTCGATATTTGGACCTTATTTGAGGTAAAAGAATAGTCGGACGCTCAGAGCTCCAAGTCCCTGCGTCCTCCTCCGTCGAAACCGGAAACTGCTTCCATATTTTGACTACTTTTTTGAGTGTTATCAGCTACAAGGGAGATAAATCTAACCCAGTACAGCTGGGAATGAGAGCTTCTAGCCTACAAGGATTTGGGGCCAGTGACTCATCCCCCAAGGGTGTTGCTGTCATCATCCATATTCGGAGGTGCTTGTGTTCCAATTCTTCCTTGTCTCATTTACCTTGTTTTTGATGTCCAATTGAAAGTAGTTCAAAGTTGCCGTCCCATTATCGAAAAACTCACTTTTGACGATTTTGACTGGAAAACTATTTACAATGCGAAGTATAAGTTGTTGTTATTGGGTTAATGTTTCTATGACCTTTATGGCTTTGGTCCGTGGAACCTCTCTTTGATTTTATATTTGATTGCATTGGTAGGATAAGTGGATTTCTGTAACTTTTGCTGTTTGTTGTTATACTTTATGGTTGAATACGAATAAAATGTTCTGGTTAAAAAAAACAAAAAACCCTGGGAAGGATTTGCTTACCCCAGTATTTGCCAGAAGACAGTAGGGAGATTCTTACTGGGACAATAGTCACTTTGGTATGCTGAATAACGGAGTCATTCAGTGTGGGCAGCTTTAGAAGACTTACTTGTTAGGTAAATATACTGAAGTTTAATAGATTAATTGATTTGAATCAGTGAGTGTGAATGTTACTGTGGATAAAACCTCTCATGTCCATTCAGACTTGAACTCTACATTAGCAATGACAGGGTCAGGTGGTGCCAAGGTGCCAACTTCTTCAGTTGTTTGGGATACTTTTCAGTTCATTCAGGTCCCAATCAGACAGGTCTTTAGATCCGTGCCAGGCACAAGTGCCTGGTAGATTTAAAGGTAATGAACAGACAGCAACATCTGGGAAATGTGCCTCTTCCGTGATCATCCCGTTTTGCCGCGCTATGGAGCCGTACTTAAAAGATACTGGTGAAAGTCCAGTGTTTTTGCTTCCTGATGGGCCACTGACAGATTTTTCCCCATCTGATCGTTCCATTGCGCAATCAGCCTGTTGGGATGGTCTGACATCAGACCATCCCGAGAGGGGGCCATTTAAAAAATTCTTAGTGATATGCACATAAACGCGTAAACACGTGACAGCCGCAGAGTTCCACTCAAACGTTCCGGACAGTTTCATGTTTCTAGGCCCGTGAATTTTATGAACTGCATTAATTAAAAAGGGCCCTGCAATGTCACCCATTCTGGATGCAGTTGCATGAAAGGAAAGGTCCATAGTCTACCCAAGCCTACTGCTGGATAAGCAGGAGACAGCTGCGGTCAGGAGTGCCTTTTACCAGCTTTGATTGGTTAGCCAGCTGCAGCGTTTCCTGGGCAGAAAATAACTAGCCACTGTGGTGCATGCCCTGGTTACATCAAGATTTGATTACTGTGCAGTGCACTCCATATGGGGCTGCCCTTCAAAAGTGTTCAGAAACTTCAGATGGAGCAGGATTCTGTAGTCAGAGTGTTGAAAAGAAGAGTCGGTTTTTATACCCTGCCTTTCACTAACTGAAGGAGTCTCAAAACAGCTTACGATCGCCTTCCCTTCCTCTCCCCACAACAGAAATTCTGTGAGGTAGGTGGGGCTGAGAGAGCTCTGAACACTGTGACTGACCCAAGGTCACCCAGCTGGCTTCATATGGAGGAGAAATGGGGAATCAAGCCCCACTCTTAACCATTACACCACGCTGGCTGTGGGTTGGGTTGGGCGGACCATTTCACTTCGGTCTTGTTCCATCTACACTGGCTCCCAATTTGTTTCTGAGCACAATTCAAGGTGCTGATGCTGACATTTAAAGTCCTATATGGTTGGAACCAACATACCTGAAGTATCACCTACTCCCTTATAAACCTTACCCAACCATTGCCATCATCTTCAAAGGGCCTGCTTTGTGTGCCAGCCCCCTTCAGAGATTAGGTGGGTCATGTGGCAACTTGGGAGAGGGCCTTCTTAGTAGTGGCAGCAAAACTCTGAAACTCTCTCCCCAAGGAGGTTCACCTGTCCTCTTCTGTTGACATCTGCCAGCAGGTGAAGACATTTTGTCGTACTTGGCATACCCTAGTGATCCTTCCTTCCTCTCCAATATTTTCACTGTTGTTTTTATCTTTTGTACTTATTCTAAGCTTTGTTTTTAACTTGTTTTAATTATGTATTTGCATGTTGGTTTTAATGGCTCTTCGGACAACATTTTAATGTGTATGTTTTAATTTGGTGCCTGCCTTGGTGGCCCCATGAGGGCAGAAAAGTAGGACAGCGTTCTTGTAAATAAATAAAAAAGAGTGAAGAAACCCCTGCTTTTTTGGAGGCTATTTTGTTATTATAATAGGGAATTAAAAAATGAAAGTATTAAGGGCAGCATGAATGATAACCTTTTAAATTATTAAACTGTCAACTATTTTTAATGTCCCCGAAGAAGACATTTTGTGTTAAGGTCTTCGTGATATATGGAAGCCTTTAAATATAATTGCATTACTTCATCAGTTGTGTGCAAAGCATTTGACTGCGTGACTCAGGTGTCAGAAGGAGAGTTTATGATGCCACTTCCTCTTTGTTACGGCCAGGAGCTTTGCAATCACGAACCCCACCAATGCCCCTTACACTTTCCACTGGACCTGTGAGCAGCAGGAGGAGAGACAAGAACAAGCCGCCTTTGTCTGCTTTACTGAGAAGGGTCAGCTCCGATCTGAGAAAAGAGTTGAGGTGAGTGGGAGAGGGCAGAGGGGAAAATGCCCGGCTGAAATCACAGCCTGTTTCTTCAAGGCCAACAGGCCGCATCTCTGATCCTTCCTCCGTGGCCATCTGTTTTACCTGTTCCTTCAGCGATGCCCCTTAAACACGGTAAACATGGCTTACGTGATCAGAGACCCATGGGTTTGTTTGTATTACTTCATTTGTACCCCACTTTTATTTTGAATGAGGACCCGATGTGGCTTTTAGCATCCTTGTCTCCTCCATTTTTCTTCAGAGTTCTCCCCTTTTCCATTTTATCCTCCCAACATCCCCATGAGGTAGTCTAGGCTGGGAGTATACGACTGGCCCAAATTGACCCGGCAAGCTTGTTACCTAGCAAGCTTCCAAGGCAGAGTGGGTATTCAAGCCTGGGTCTCCCAGATCCTAGTCCGGCACCCCTAACCACTACGCTGTTCCTGTACTCTGTGTGATTAACATTTTAAAAAGTGACGTTGGCTCAGACTGAGAGCAGTTATAAAATGCCAAAAGCAGCAGCAGGTGTGTTCCAGAGCAGCCTGCAGAGTAAGGAAAGATATGTCTGTCTTTTCATCTGCAGGTCATATTTGAATTCTTCCCCAAACATCTGGGTGTCACAGAATCCTTTTGGATGTTCACAATCCCCGAACACAGCATTTCTGTCCCATTCCTCTTGGTGGGCCACACCACGGACCCTGCTGTATCTCTGGAGAGATACCACATCAACTTCCACTCACTCTTGATTGGTAAGGGTCATTATAGGTGGGGGGGGCACTTCTTTTCATTAAGCAATAGAGCAGGAGGAAGCTCTTTGACAAGAGAAGCATTTAGTGCTTATGATAGCAGCAGAAAAGCCGAGTGTTGACAGTACGAATGTCTAGGGGGTCAATCCACTGAGCCCTGCTGGTACGTAGCAACTCCTGCAACTAAGTCTGGGCCACTTTCCTAATCACAGCTCCACAGTATGGGCAGCCAGCCTTCTGTCAAACAGATCCCTCCATTCAGACAGCCTGGTACGGTCATTCAGTATGTGTGTGCGTGTGTATAAAGTGCCATCAAGTTGCAGCTGGCTTATGGTGACCCTAGCAAGGGGCTTTCAAGGCAAGTGAGAAGCAGAGGTGGTTTGCCTTGGCCTTCCTCTGCAGAATCTTCCTTGGTGGTCTCCCATCCAAGTACCGACCCTGCTTAGCTTCCAAGATCTGATGATATCAGGCTATACCATGCAGCCTTCCCTCCCATGATCATTCTAGTTTAACCAGATAAGGCTTCACTGAGATTCCAGTAAGACTACAATTAAAGGAATTCAATTGATATTTGCATGTGTGTGTATCTTACTGCTCTGTGAACTGAAAGAATTATGTAATGAAGCATAAGGTGCAGGAGAAAACACAAGTATAGAACAACAGGGAAGTCTAAAATACAGAGCGGATATAGAAACATTTGCCTTGCCCCCCCTTGGCTATCTTTCCCACTTTTTTGAAAAAAGACACAACTCTTTTTTTAAAGACAAGATAATAAAAATAGATACCAGTGCAAGTTAACTCCATGAATACTGAAAAACTACATACAAGGAAAATAATTTCTGAAACATAATTGAATATATCAGCTTTAAAGCAAATCAGATTTCAAATAACTGTCTCAGAATGCTTTAGAAAGCTTTGGAAGCCCAGCATTCACACAGAGAGAAATCTCATCTACAGCCTTTTGACAGTCCTTTCACAGAAGCCTGGTCAACTCCTTGTGTGACACTTTTTATAGATAAGGTGACAGACACTAGCTTATATAAATCTTTATAACTTGATCGTGCGATGATTCTGTAGATAAGTGATTGGTTCTCAAAGTGATTTTTTGAGATCATACACAGGCGTGCAAAGCTATATCTGATAATGCTCATTATATACTCAAGCAAGATTTTTAAAAGGCTATATTTAAAACTTACTGATAATTAAAAAACAATTAATTCTACTTTCTTCAATGACATAATTATTAAATATAAAAGAGATCGTGGACTTTCCCTGACTAGCTGGGGAACTTCCTACAAAGGTTACAAAAAGTACAACAGAACACACATGTTTAGCATGTACATCATGACAAAAGTGTCTTTGAAGTAACTTCTTATGTGCCACTTATAAGAATCAAATATCAACACTGGATTTCAAGTCTTTTTGATGCACTGGTTCCCAAAGTGGGCAATACCACCCTCTCAGGGGCACTGGAACGATGCAGGTGGGCTGGAACGGTCCAGGTGCAGATCCACAAACTGCATCTTTTTGTCAACTTCTTAAAGGTAGATGTCCAGGGGGGTGAAAAGGGGGCGGTAGGCCAAATAAAAGTTTGGGAACCTCTGTATCTACTACTACAAAAATGGTCCTCAAATAATCAACTAGCAAAAAATGAGGAGGGAAAAAAGATTCCTGGCTTGGCCAAAGCAACCTGTTACAATTTGGCCTATTTTCCAGCTTTTCTGCTATTTTTCCTTTCCAGCTATTTTTTAAAAAGTTCTTTTTACTAGTTTTAATCTTTAAACAAATAATGAACTGAGTCCCTTCTGCTTTTCTTTTACAAAATAACCAACAAGAGAGTCTCTGAATAAAGATCACTCAATGTGTGTGTGTCCATCCAGAGTGTACTGACAGAAAAGCCTAACTTGTGCTGTTCCTTTGACCTCCCTAAGGACACGAGGCACGTGACAGCATCCATATTATCAACAATGAAAATGAAACCTTCAGTTTTGCTTTCAGAGAGAGCTCCCGCTTTTCAGAGGGACGGATCAACTGTCTGAAACTACAGCCCATGGAAGGCTCCATTCCACCTTGTTCCAGGTATGGTGGAAGTTGCCCAGGACAATGAGAATCTGTATGCCAAGTGTCAGGGGCTTCAGTCATTTCAAAGCACTGCAGGTTTTTCCAGTGGTTAGACTTTGCACGTTTAAAAAAGCCCCTCCAAATTCTGCAGCTAGAAAAGGCAGATTTTAGCTTCAGAACACTTGTTTCTGATCCTGTGGAGTTTGTTCTTGGTCTTCCCTGTAGAATTAATGGCTCTTCATCACTCATATGCTGCCCTGCAGCAACAGAAGTGCTCCAGCAACAGAAAGGTTTGACTATTGTCAGCATCCTACAGGATCTGGCTATCATAAAAAGGTAAAGGTAAAGGTTCCCTTGCTCGAAAGCCAGTCGAATCCGACTCTAGGGTTGCGGTGCTCATCTTCATTTCAAAGCTGAAGAGCCAGCACTGTGTGAAGACATTTCCGTGATCATGTGGCCGGCATGACTAAACACCAAGGTGCACGGAACGCTGTTACCTTCCCACTGAAGTGGTACCTATCTATCTACTTGCAATTTCTTGCTTTCGAACTGCTAGGTTGGCAGGAGCTGGGACAAGAGACGGGAGCTCACCCCGTCATGCGGCACACTCGGGTCTCGAACTGCTGAACTACCAACCTTCCACAGCCTGCAGTTCAGTGTCTTAACCACTTGAGCCACCACAGCTATCATAAGGTGAAGCATTTTCTTAGCACACTCCATGCTTTCTCACCAGGGTTCCTGTTAATATCAGCTTCATGCCAACGCTGGAAGGGGAAGTAAACTTTAACCTGATCTGCGATGTCAACAGGAAGACCCACCCTCTTTGCTTGAATGTCAAGGCCACTGGCCACACAATGAATTTGACCGTGAAGTACGAAGAAAGTAACGTGACTATTGAGCTGGACTCTGACCAGGTGAACACCATCCACTTTAAAGAGGTGAGAAAGCAGAAAAGCCAGGAGACTCAAGGTCCCCATTCACTCATTCAGTGGTGGCACTTTACTCCAATAGTACCTGTGGACTTTTTCTGAGCCATCTAGTTTCTCCAAGGTGATTAGAATTGGACATAATATATGCAGTGTTAACGTGGTGGAACTTCCATCCCACTACACCCATCTCCACTTCTAAAGAAGCAGCCTTTATAAGACAGTACCTGAACATCAGTGTTGTGGCTTTTATATGTGGGGGGAAATGGAAACGAAGCTGAGGTTGATTTGAACATCTCGCATGGTGACAGTGCTTGGATGCTCCTTGACAAAGCTTCTGTCTTCTGGAACTTTCCCCCACAACAGAAGGTTCACTGACTAGGGGTTTATAGCTTGCTTTAGTTTAATTTTTTTAAGTGGATGGTGAGAGTCTTGGGCAATCAGGCTGGGCTTGTACTCAGTGAAGCTGCAGTAGTGCTTGACTATTGATGCTTTCCCTTCCCTCTGCTCCCCGGACAGATGCAAGTGAATGATTATGCTCAGTATACCTTCTATATCCTGAACACTGGGAAATTCAACTTCACCTTCACCTGGGAGTTCCACAACACTAAAGCATTGCAGCGATATTTTGCCATCTCTCCGAATAGTGGCAAGGTGGAACCCGGGGAACGGATTGAGAGCGTATTGTCATTTCACCCACTGAAAACATGTACCTTAAAGGATGTTGAGCTCAGACTACAGGTAAGAAAGGGGTTTGTGGGATTTCCCTTGTGCTGGTCACAGAAAGCTTTCAAAGCCCTGCAGGTGCTTTTGGTAGAGGATTACAGCGATACCTCAGGAAAGCAAAGTTTGGTCATTTATAGGGCATTTCTGACTGGCTACTCACTGACTGCAGAAATGAGCCTGTTTCATAAAACTTCAGCAGAATGCTATGAACAAATGTTTCATGTGCTGCATGCTTCTTTCCTGGACTGTTTCCTCCTTTCTCCTCTTCTGTTTTCCCTTGCCCAAACAGCCAGAGGAAGCCTGTCTAAAGAGGCAAGAAGCTGCCTCTTTGCTTGTGAGTCAGAAGCTGTTTCTACACTGGAAACGTTCATCATATATGTCTCCCCAAAGCACCTCATAAAGTCAATATAAATACACCAACCAACAAACAAGTCAACTGACTCACTATCTCAGCAGGCTGGGCCAGTATTCCACAGCTGGCTCACCAAAGGCAATCTGCAATGCTTACGGGCCACAGGTCCAAGTATGATAGCAATACATGACCGAGGGAAAGGGGAAAAAGAATTGTTCAGCGAGGTGCTGCAGTTGGCCAAGATGTTCTTCCCTGTCTTTCCTGCTTTCCTGAAATAGCTTGTCATGTCAAAAAGGCCAACCTGGCTTCTGGTGGTTCCTCTCCTCACAGATCAGCCATGGCCCCACATTTATTTGTGCACTCCAAGGTACAGCTGTATCTCCCAGCATCCATTTCTCCTTCACCAAAGTTGACTTTGGAAACTGCTTCATCTACCATGCTGGGATGCCCATTCCCAAACGAGTCCTGACAGTCACAAATAAGGATGACAAAGTTGTAAGGTAAGCTGGAGGGCTGTTCGCCAGGACTGGGTGGGCCTTCCCTGCCCACAGTAATATAAGTGGAGGAGGAGGAGATTGGATTTATACCCCGCCCTTCACTCAGAGTGGCTTACCATCTCCCTTCCCCTCCCCACAACGGACACCCTGTGAGGTAGGTGGGGCTGAGAGAGCTCTGACAGAAACTGCTCTTTTCGAGAGCACCTCTGAAAGAACTTGTGACTGACCCAAGGTCACACCAGCAGCTGCAAGTGGAGGAGTGGGGAATCAAACCCAGTTCTCCCAGATAAGAGTCCGCACACTTAACCACTACACCAAACTGGAGGTTTCCTTTCTGATGCACAGCTCTGACAGTGTTGAGATGCTGTACCAGTGGCAGCCTAAAGAGTCAGCAAGTAGAGCTGCTAACCTCCAGGTGAAGCCTCCTAGGATTACAACTGATCTCCAGGCAACATTGATCAGTTCATCTGGAGAAAAGGGCTGCTTTGGAAGGTGGTCTCTATGGCATTATACCCTGTTGAGGTCATTCCCCTCCCCAAACCCCACCCTCCTCAGGCTCCACCCCCAAGTTCTCCAGGTCTTTCCCAACCCAATGCTGGTGAACCTAGCAGGGAGCAATGAGTCTTTGAGCCTGAGCAGAATCCAGCAGGGGAAAGGGTGTGTGTGGAAGCAGCAGAGCTGTCTGTCAACCACTGAAAATCGAAGCCTGACTTGGAAGCTTCTGTTCCCTTAGCATGCCATTTGTGTTGGGGAAGATACACTGGAGTTTTGGAAACCCTCTCAGTCTGCAGCCCTGAGTGGCTCCCCATGGGAGGCTGCTAAGCCAGCAGTGTCCAGTTGCTCCCCAGGTTGCTCCCGACAGATGGAATGGTCAGGGATGATTACTGCACGCCCTAAGCCTTCTGTTCAAGCTGAACAGACTAACCGATAAGTGCCATGCAGACTCCTTGATTACTGTTCTTCTCTTACTTAGGAAGCAAAGGTGGTGGTGGCGGCAGCGGGATAACATGTCTCCTCTGGAGTCTCCTGATCCCTGGAGTTGGGTGGGGGAAAGGACATTCGGTTTGTTGGTTTAAGTCCTTCTGTCCCATGTCACAATCCATATGGCTCCTGGGCCAGCGAACAACATATTGAAACAATGTAATAAAACAGTAAAAATCATAAACATTCAGCTTTCAGACTCCAAAAAGCATTTTTTAAAACATCAAGGAGTAAAAAGTACAATCCAGCAACTTCTCCAAGCCATTACATTCCTGGAGATCAGCACGGAACTTCATGGGAATGTAAAAATCAACAAATAAATACATCTGCTAAGTCAATAAAAGCAGAAGTTTGAAATACTATAAAGCTCTGTTAAATTCTAGGGGGCATGCTTCCCCAGTTCTCTTCCTCTAAACTTCTCTAATGCCAAACATCCCAGAAATAACCCCCTGGGCTTGGGATTTCAAGATCTCCTGAGCCAGGATGCGGTGGTCAGACTAGTGTTACCTCTGGTCCAATACCCCATTGTCTGCCCCACCTGCGGAGGTTGCTGCTGTCTTTGAAGGCAGAAATCTACCCTGATGTGGCATGAAAGTGATATGCCTGTGAGGGCTCATTTGCTTACGCTGGTCAGCTATCAGTAGACTGTGAGAACACAGGTGTGAAACAGGCCCTAGTGTTATACCCTCTCTAATTTGGCCTATCCCTTGATTATGTGTACCTCCCTGCCCCATGGTGGCTGAACAGAGGTTCCCTCAGGAGATTCCCTTCATGCTCTAGTTTAATAAAGGCACCAGCAACGATGTTTCAGCCAAATGCATCTGGCACTGTGCTCCTTGACTCTGAAAAGAGCCTTTATAATGGAGAAGATCATAGAATCTGATGATGCAGTGGGCACAATCAGATATCAGAGCAACTCAGGGGATGAAGGACATCATCAGAAGGTGAAGTCAGCCTCCACTGAACCTCTGAGACAAAACAGGGCTCAGACCGATTAGTCAGTGGCCAGACAGAAAGACCTCTTTGACGTTCTCTAGTAAAGTTGTTCATGTTTTCTTCCGGCCTCTTCACAGCCTGGACTGCTTGTTCACCAGCACACCTTACCTTGAGGTGGGTTTCCACGGTGAAGTGCTGAATCCTGGAGGAAAAGCAGAGATCCCATTCGCCTTCTATCCTCGAGAGGCCATTCCCTACCATGAAGCTGTCACCTTTGAAATCAATGGCCTCTTACAAAGGACTGTTGAAGTTCTTGGAAAGGGAATTGAGATGAAGGTGAGATTATATGAGAGGCCTAGAACTTCAGGCTCCAAGAATCTGTTCTTACGAGAGGCAAAGTCAGGGGTTCAGCTTTTGGATTGTTAAAACCAGTTGCCCCAAGGACATTCTTTCCTTCACAGATTAGTTTGCTTTCCTAGGTTCAGCTCGTACCAGACTGCTTCCTTTCACAGTTAGATCTGAGACTTTAGATGATCCCTTTTGTTTTCTTCCTGGGGTACAAGATGAGGCATTAGCACAGTCATTACCTGAGGTAAGCAGATTTGGACAGAGCCAATCCCTACTGACTGCAGATAGACAATATGGAGGTGAGGTTAAAAGCTCTAAGATTCCATGTCAGTGCTGTTGTTAGAACCAAATTAGCCCTTGGGTATCTCTGACCATGTAAGCCAAATCTGTATTGGAAGGAGACAAAGTATCCCATAAGGCAGATACCCTGGGCCCAAGGAAGACAATGGGGAGGTTGACTATCCTTAAAGGGCATTTTGAGATCTAGTGAGCAGAAGGACACAGGGGCATTCCAAAAAGGAATAGCAGCAACTCTTGTTTGGGGCAACTGAGATTCGATTAATACTCAACCATTATGAGCTGTTCCTGCCTGTGGCAAAACTGAACACCTAATCAAAAGGTAAAGGTTCCCTTGCTCAATAGCCAGTCGAATCCGACTCTAGGGTTGCGGTGCTCATCTCCGTTTCAAAGCCGAAGAGCCAGCACTGTCTGAAGACATTTCCGTGGTCATGTGGCCAGCATGACTAAACACCAAGGCGCACAGAATGCTGTTACCTTCCCACTGAAGTGGTACCTATTTATCTACTTGCAATTTCTTGCTTTCGAACTGCTGGGTTGGCAGGAGCTGGAACTAGAGACGGGAGCTCACTCCGTCATGTGGCACACCTAGTACACCACAATAATTTCACATCATGCTTTGATTTCCTGGAAGAAAATAAAATTTGTGATATAGACAGAGGTTCTTCCATTCACACCGTAGTCCATCCTTTCTTCTCCCGTCTCCTGCTCTTATTGTTATTCTTTTCCTCTCATCGATTTCTTGTCATGTGAACAATTTCACCATTCATTTCACCATTATGTGTAGCTTTCTGCTATTGCAACCCCTGCTGTGTCCTTTCCTTTACTGCAGATTGATGTTTTACAACCTCCAAACAAAGTGTTGAAATATGGAGCTGTTCCTCCAGGACACACTGTGAAGAAGACAGTTACCTTAGTGAACAATAGTGTTTGCTTTGTCTCCTTCAACCTCAGTTTTATGTCCATTGTGCCAGAGTTGCAGGAAGCAAAGGTAAGGCCTCACAACCCCTCTTTCTCTCCTGCCATGGGATTACCTGGTATTGATCATGTGGTACACATTGAAATATGTTTCTAGTAAACAGAGTGCTGTGGGCTGATGAGATTTCCCTGAGAGACTGTGGAAGGAGTTTTTTGTATGGAGCTGCATTTAACCATATGTGTCCCCTCTGAAATAGTCCAGTCCAGATGCACTTCAGTGAGAACTAAGCCTCAACCATAGCAGGACCAAGCTATAGCAAGGTCTATTTGGTGGGGCAGGAGGAACTTCAGGGTCAACTGATTGAAGCCACTTGCAAAATGTCTCCTTCTAAAGGCAAGCCACTTGCAAAATGGCTCCCCTGGGGGGGCACAGCCAGTCACATTTTGTTTATTTTATCAGAACAGAAGAGCCCTGCTAGATCAAACCCGAGGGCCATCTTGTCCAGCATCCTGTTTCATACAGTGGCCAACCAGTTCTTCTGGAGGGCCAACAGCAGGGCATTGAGGCCGAGGCCTTCCCCCAATATTTCCTCTTGGTCCTGGCACTGGGATTCAGAGGTTTAGTGCCTCTGAACATGGAGGTTCCCCTCAGCCACCACTAGTAGCCACAGATAGACCTATCCTCCATGAATCTATCTGATCCCCTTTTAAAGCTGTCTGTTCCTGTGGCCATCACTACATCCTCTGGCAGTGAATTCCATATTTTAATCACTCTCCTGTGTAAAGAAGTATTTATACCCTGCCTTTCTCTCCAGTGGGGACCCAAAGTGGCATACGTCATTCTCCTCTTCTCCACATAAGGTATTCACAGGGTTATTTCGCAATGTGGGAACTTTTGGGAAATCTGGAAGGGGAGAATTAGCAGGCACAGTCTGAGAAGGACATATAAACCAGGGAACATGGGGCAATGAAGACCCCCCCCCCCCGGGGCTTCTGAGTTAACAGCTTTAGCAGATCTAAGATGACTCAGCCCTGGATCTACCAGTAGATCCTGAGCTGCCTTCTGTCTGCCCCTGAATGAGAAGCCAATGGGGGTGGAGCAGTGGGCCACTGAGCAGCTGTGGGAATGCTCCACTGGTGGCATTTAAGGCTCTAAAAATTCTCCTCTCTTTGGGCAGGTTCTGACTATGTCTCCTTCTAGTGAAATAAGCTTGAAGCCCAAAGGAGGCACCTGCCGCGTTGAGGTCACTTTCAGCCCCAAAAGCCGCATCCTGCAGTTCACAGAGGAGGTCCTCCTTGAGTGCCATGGAATTCTGCAGTCCCTCTTTGTGGTGCAAGGTTGCTGTCAGGGCATTGAGGTCAGCCTGGACCAGAATCATGTCCCTTTCGGTGCAGTGGTGCAGCGGAGCCAGGCATCTCGACGGATCATGATGCAGAACACGGGGGACATCGGAGTAGGGTAAATACAGCAGCCCTTGCAAGTTGCTCTTTTCATTCGGCTTTTCCAGTTCTGCTCCCACTATGCCCTGTACTGAATGTGGCCAGTCTCCCTCCTGCTCAGTCTGCTCAGCATGATCATTTGTAACCCTTTGCAGGAAGGAAAGAACCGGAAAGAAAACACTTTGTAGGCTATGCAAGCTTTTAATTGTCACAGATTTCTTATCTTGACCCCTACTCCAAAAAACTAGGGGAGTAGGAAATAATTTAAAGTAAAATCTTCTTAAACAATGGCAGTTGGCCTGAGGTCCATCTCCACTTCCAAATAAACCCTCTCCCAAACCTATCCTGCCCCATCATGTTGCTTAGACACACAATTTGGTTACCTATAACTAACACTTGCAGATTGGCATTAATACAGCTACAACATCTTTTCTTAGGTGCTACCTTTGCCATCTTAACCACATATTTAAATAATATCACCTTTCACACCCTAACTTACAAAAATCCAACATTCCTTCTTTAACTCATAATGAACATTTTGAAAATTCAATTGGTTAATATTAGAGGTCTTAACACCTGGGTCAAACGAAGAAAGGTCTTAACGCCAGTTGCAGCTTACAAAGCCATCAATTCTGTTTCTACACTCTAGATCTGATAAACATCCTATTTTAAAATCTTCTTGGTTTCCGCAACAATTTCAGGCACCAGGGTCGTCTAAAGCAAGAGGAGTGGCGATATTGTTCTCTAAAGCACTCAACTTCTCAGTTAACAGCATGAAAGTAGATCCTCTGGGCTGCTTTCTCTTTCTTAAAGGCACTCTAGAGAGCAGGAAACTCACACTGGCATCAATATATGCCCCAAATCTGAACCAAATTGCTTTTCTGAAATCCACCTTTTCGGAGTTACAGGCCTTCACAGAAGGTGAGTTGATCATAGGTGGAGACTTTAATTTCATTGCAGATAAAATACTAGATAGGTCCTCTGTGAAGCGTAAAACTAACTCGTATCTTAAAACAGGAACAAGCACAGGGCTATCTAGATTTTTTCCTGAATTCAGATTAATAGATACCTGGAGGTCCCTACACCCGATAGACCGAGACTACTCATACTTCTCGGCACAGCACCAGACCTTCACAAGGATAGATTATATTCTAATATCTGAACAATTATTGGCAGAACTGGTATCAGCGACCATTGTCCCAAGGTACTTGACGGATCATGCATGGCTTGACTGTCAACTACAGAAAAATTCAAACACAAAACTGGACAGACAATGGTCCATGGATAAAAGTATTTTATTGGACACCTTAATCAAGGAAAAGCTGGAGACTGACATCAGGAACTTTTTTCAGGAAAACTCATCACCAGAAATCTCTGCCTCCATGTGTTGGGATGCCATGAAGGCTGTTATTCGAGGGTCAATGATTTCTCTCACATCACATCTACGGGAAAAAAGAGAAAAAGTCAGAAGAGATATGTTAAACTGGATCTCCCAACTTGAATCTAAACATAAAGAAACAGGGAGTAGAAGGATATATGCTAAATTACTGGCGGAAAGAAAGACTCTAGAAACATTGGAAACATCGCAAATCCAAAAAAACTTACTTTATTTAAAACAGCAGTACTGGCAAAAATCTCCTAGGAATGTACGCATGCTAGCATGGAGGATCAAAGAAAAAAGAAAGGCAGCTATGGTGACTACACTGAAAACTTCGGATGAAAAATATTATACTTCCCTTAAAGCAGTAGCAGGAGGTTTTGCTGACTTCTTTGCAAAACTGTATTCCTCCCAAGAACCAGCGAGGAATGATATTGCGCCTTACCTAGACACTTTACCTGATCTAAAAAAGCTCTCACCAGCACATACTAGCTTTATGGAAAAACTCATGGACAGAGAAGAACTCATGGAAACTATCAAGGGCTTGAAGCTAAACAAGGCCCCTGGCATAGACTGAATTCCCACAGAGTTCTACAGAACCTTCCGCTCAACACTGGAACCTCATCTTCTAAATTTCTGTAATGAGGCTTTATGCTTAGGGAATATACCTCCGTCCTGGTATGACTCTTCGATCTCAGTAATTTCTAAAGACAAGAAGGACCCATTGGAACCCGCCTCATACCGCCTGATTGCTTTATTAAACAATGATGTGAAGATATTCACCTCGATATTGGGCAACAGGCTCAAAAAATTGGTGCCAGAAAGAGGACTACAAAAAACAAGCTGATAAAAGGAGAGCTCCTGAATGGGATTTGAAGCCTGGGGACTCTGTGTACATTTCGACAAAGAATTTGAAGGGGATCCAATCGGGGAGGAAATTGGGGTGGAAGTATATTGGCCCATTCAAGGTGTTGAAGGTTTTGAACAAGGTGGCTGGGGAACTTGAGTTACCCAAGAATCTGAGGCATATTCACCCTGTGTTTCATTTCAGCCTATTAAAAAGGACCTCGTCCAGCTACTCCACCTCCTCTGATGATTGAGAAAGAAAGACTCTAGAAACATTGGAAACATCGCAAATCCAAAAAAACTTACTTTATTTAAAACAGCAGTACTGGCAAAAATCTCCTAGGAATGTATGCATGTTGGCATGGAGGATAAAAGAAAGAAGAAAGGCAGCTCTTGTGACTACACTGAAAACTTTGGATGGCAAACATTATACCTCTCCTAAAGCAGTAGCAGAAGGATTTGCTGACTTCTTTGCTAAACTATACACCGCCAGAAAACCAGTGATAAATGATATTGTGACTTATTTGAACACTGTACCAGACCTAAAAAAGCTTTCATCAGCACACACAGATTTTATGGACAAGCCCATAGACTGGAAAGAACTTATGAACACCATTAAAGACTTGAAGCTAAATAAGGCCCCCGGCATAGATGGAATTCCCGCAGAGTTTTACAGAACCTTTCGCTTAACATTGGAACCTCACCTGCTTAACATATGTAATGAGGCCTTAGGTTTAGGAACAATACCTCAGTCCTGATATGACTCTTCTATCTCTGTAATCCCTAAAGCCAAGAAAGAGCTATCAGACCCCGCATCATACCGTCCAATAGCTTTGTTAAACAACGATGCGAAGATATTCACTTCGATACTGGCCAATAGACTTAAAAAGCTGGTACCAGAATATATTAATCCAGATCAGACCGGGTTTATTCCAAATAGGCAGATAACGGACAATGTTAGGCGAACGCTTAACATTATATGTTATGGGAAAACCTCCTTTTCTGAATCTGTAATCCTGGCTTTAGATTTTGAAAAAGCCTTTGATTCCCTAGAAATCCCCTATCTCCTCATGCTTCTGGAAAAGATGGGCTTTGGCCAGAACTTTCTCAACACTTTAGAAACACTATATGCTCACCCTAAGTCTAGAATACGAGTGAACGGCTACAATTCAAACTTCTTCTCTCCGTCCAGAGGAACCAGGCAGGGTTGCCCCCTATCACCACTGCTATTTGCTCTTGCAATGGAACCACTAGCAAATGAATTGCGTCACAACCAGGATTAGCTGGTATCTACATTAACGGGCAAGAACATAAATTAACAATGTATGCCGACGATATCACCCTTTATATTTCTGATCCTGAACGGTCCATACCAGCCATTCAAGCTACTCTTTCTCGTTTTGGGACATATTCCGATTTATGCCTGAATACCACAAAATCAGAAATCTACCCTATCACTCTCTCCAGTAAAACCCGGTCAAAATTACTTGAGTCTATGCCATTTCGATGGGTGGAAGATACTTGGAGACACCTCGGAGTCCAGATTCCTCTTGATCTACACAATTTGTTGGTATGCAATTATCATAAAACTTTTGCTGAGTCTTAAGAGAAGATGAAAAAATGGAACGCACTTAAGCTCTCTTTAGCGGATCGTGTTCAATTAATTAAAACGTTTGTTTTTCTGTGGTTTCTATTCCTTTTCAGAAATATGCCGATATTCATACCAGAGAAAGATCTGAATAACTGGCAGAAAGAGATTCAATGCTTTGTATGGAACTACAAGAAATCTTGTATAGACAGTCGCTCTCTCTTTAAGCCATTGACACTGGGAGGTCTTAACATGCCTCGACTTCAAACCTATTACCATGCAGCTCTTCTGTCTAACATTCCTAAAATGTCGCAATTACAACCGGAAGCACAATGGGTGCAGATTGAACAATCATACGTGTCTCCATTTAAACTCCAAGAAATCTTTTGGATTCCAGCTTCACATCGACCCTCCAGCCTTCTTGACAATCCATTCTTATACACAACGCTGAAAATTTGGGATCACAGACAGAAGTGTATAGCTCCTCCAATATCCCCGCTATCCACATTTACGATTTCTAGAGCTCCTGCTGCAGAAGCTCAGAGATCATGTTGGGAGAAAAAAATGGAAGCAAAATCAGACAGGTATATTGTCTGGCTTCTCAGGACCTCCAGAATATGCTGGGCCTGGGAAATTTTGTACCTTATTGCCTCTCTCTCAGAGGTCCTGAAATTATGTCATCAGTATTTACCACCACTTACCAGAAAGCCTGGGAACGAGACCTTCAAAAATCACTGATGACTGAGCAATGGTCATCTTGTTGGAACTCTTCAAAGAAAGTCTTTAAGATCTTTAACATCCACCTGCAAACATACAAACTGATTACCCGCTGGTATTACACTCCTGATCATCTATACCATCTTAATCCCAATTATAGCCAATTCTGCTGGAAACAATGCGGACTTAAAGGAAACTATTTTCACTGCTGGTGGGAGTGCCCACACATCAACAACTTTTGGAAAAGTGTCATAGCAGAAATAAACAAGATCACCTCTCAAATAATTCCTCTCAAACCAGAAGTTATCCTACTTCAAATTCAAGAAACACCTGATTCACAATACAACTACAACGAACTTACCTTGATTTTGCAGGCAGCGGCCCGCTTGGCCATAGCTACCACCTGGAAGTCTACCTCCCCTCCAACGCTGACCATGTGGAGAAATAAAGTATGGGATCAGTTTATTATGTGCAAAATCTCTGACTCACTTCAAAGACAACGACTGGGCACCACCATGACCTACTCTAGGTTTGTACGCACATGGTTTCCATGGCTGCAGTACATGACAGAAGCTGAACTTCTTCCCACTAACACTACTTATTCTACTTTGCTTTTCCTCTAGCTTTCTACTGTACACACTGAGTTACATATAAAAATATTTTACATCTAAGATCCAGACCTAATCCAGTACTCACACTTGCCTTACTGATAGAGGTAGCATAATTACCAGCACTTTCTTACCCTTTCTAATTCGTTGATAAATGTTCAAAAAATGTTAAAATAGTTTTTACTGCACAATAATAAGCTTTTGATGTGACTTGATCCTTATCTCTTGTTGCTTGTTTAATGCTTTTGATGTTCATTGTTGTTAATGATTATTTAAAAACAAATAAAAATATATTTTAAAAAAATCTCTACTACTACATTTACCGGGGGCACGTGGCTGAGCTGTTTCTGTTTCCACTTAACTCAGGTCCTCTTTTTGAACGTAACTCATCAGGCACTTGCATAGTCCAGCACCAGTAGAAGTTTATCCAATTAGAATGTTTCTCCTTGCATCTCTCGTTCTCCCCTCCCTGTCACCCGCCTTCTTCACCTCCTTCTCTGCTGTACCTCTTGAAACAGTTCAAAGGGGAGCTGGCCAGAGAGACCAAGCAAGGAATTGCAGAGCACTTCTGGGGTTGCTTCCGAGGGACTGTCCATATTGCTGTACGATAATGGTGATCACAATATCAAGGGATACCCTCAAATAGCTTTCCTTGCCTCTTTTTTTCTCTCTTGACAAGATTTAAATGGGACGCCAAGCGCTTCAAACCAGATTTCTCCATCAAGCCTGTTGAGGGCTACATTTCTCCAGGAATGGACGTCTCCTTTGAAGTGACCTTTCACCCCTGCGAACAGAGCCAGGATATCTGCTATGAGAACCTACAGTGCCACATTCAAGGCACCGAGCCCCTCAAGCTCACCCTGAGTGGGTGCTGCGTGGGAGTCCCCCCCATAAAAGAGGTGACTGGCCAGGGAAGGGAGAGGGGTGGCCCCAGTCTGGTTGAAACTGCAGAGGCAGACACATAGCTTTTCTCCAGAAAGGCTGTTCTCACCCTGTGGGAATGGAAAGCTCAAATCCAGGCATCTTTGTGAGAAACAGCCTGGGAAATGTCTTCTAAGCCTGGATCCATGCCCCCACCTCTCCCATGGTAGCTGTGCACCAGCATTCCTGGCTCCCAGGGAGGAGTCAAAAGCCTCTTGACTTGGCCTGCTTCTCTCCTTGTACAGATAGATTAGACGAGGGAAGCCAGCTGTGAAGCTGCTTCTGAGAAAAAAAAGGTCTGAACGGCTTAGTGCTAATGGTTCAGACTGAGTGCCAGGTCTCGGAAACTATTTGTGGCATATTCAGAACCCAGGTGTGGGACCATCTGGAGAAGAATACACAAACTCTCTCTTGCAGGTGGTTAATTTCCAATGCCAGGTGCGTGCAAAGAGCACACAGACCATCATGCTGTCCAACCGGACCAACCAGGCGTGGACCCTGCGGCCCATTATTGAGGGCGAGCAGTGGAAAGGCCCAGAGTTCATCAGGGTGGAAGCCCACCAGCAAAACAAGGCCTATGAAATCACCTACAGGCCCCTCACCATGAACACAGAGGGCAAGAAGGATCAGGTATGCAAGCTTGTAAATAGAAGAACTTTTGTGTTCCAGGTCAACGTTTGCAGGGGATCGGGGGGCCCCCTGCACAGAAATCTAGCCTTATAACTGGGGCAAAAAGAATCTGAGGCTGCGTCTACAAAGAGTCGCTTCTCTGTGTTGTTCTTGTTGCTGCTGCAAATACGGAGGACTTTGTAGTGGCTACTGAATGGGATGCAAAGCAGATTGGAGGTGCCTCTAATCCAAGAGGAGATGTTAGCCGAATTGCCTTAATTATTAACAAATGTGGGGAATTGGAATACTAAAGGGCAATGGCTAAATTAAGGAAGCAATAACCTGTGTATACCAGAGTCCAATTTATTCAGATCCCCAGAAATAGACCAGGAGACTAGATCTTAAATATGATTTCTTTTGCTAAATAATTCACACACCCATACAATTAAAATAAAACAATCACACACTCAGGCAATACAGAACTAGGAAACTAGATAGAAGGGTATAGTGGCAGTTGCATGAGCAGGAAGTATCATTGATGCGATAAGGTGATCCTGCAACGAAAAATGGGGAAAATACTAGGGAAGGGGTCATGTGTTGACCTGCAGCACATGTGGTAGACTCCAGACAGGATGGGGCTAGGTAGGTAGGAAAAGAGAGAACGAACAATGGGCAGATGCTCTTCTTATATACCCTGAGAGGGGCTTGGGTACGTAGTCCCCAGGAAGGTGCTAGAAGCTGCCAGTTCCTTAATGGGTCAAGAGAATGGAATTAAGTGTTGGGCAATTGATATAATGTTTACTAACAGTGACACCTCTTAGAGTGGATGGTTTAAGACAAAGGGAAGGAAAAGTAGTCGTTCCAGGTGCTTGGCCAGTCAACAACCCGGTGATCTGCATCTACACTACCTTGATGGGCAGTGGGTGTGTTTGGCTGCTCAGATAATCCCGTCACGACCAAGTTCTATTGTTTAACCTGAGGATGAGTATGTGCAGTCCTTGGTGATGCTAGGAGAAGGGGTGTGTGTCTGGGGGGGGAGGATGCCTGCGTGCTGGAGAAGAAGTCTTTCTATGGAGTCCTTTGCAGGAACACTCAGGCTTCTGGTGTAAAGGATGGCTTCTGCTTGCTGGCTGCTGTGTAGCTGGCCTGTTTTGAGGGGAATGAAGGCAGCCATTGCCTATACTGCTCTGAGCACTTGAATTGATCAAGTATGCCATATAATAACCATGGAGCTTTGGTTGTGTTGCATTGGGTTTGCTCCACAATACACTTCCAAAACTCATTCATTGATGAGCCACCCATTGTTTCAAGGGCTCAGATTCAATCGTGATGAGTGTCCAGTCCCACTGGTTTTGCAAACCCAGCTCCATTCTTACCTAGCAATTTCTGTGGAATATGGCAGACAAGTCTGAGTCTGGCAACGGTAGTTGGGCCAGGTGCTCACCCAAAGGGTCGGGAGTAATATCGACAAAAAAGGAGGAGCATTGGTTTCAGCAGTACTGTCTTCTACCCCAAGGCCAGGCTTGGAAAGGCACGGCATGAAAGTCATGTTCTTGGATGTTAAAGTGGACTCAATTGTCCTGGGAAGACTCTATCTCATGGGAGTGTCTGGCCATATCCGGGACTGGAAGGAACTTTGTTCAGGGCAGAAAGCAACCTCTGCCAACTTTTCTTGTAGGGCTCCGTCTTTTTCCCACTCCCAGATGGGACAGGACTGTTGTACCTCCTACAAGGCACCACAGAACCTCCCAAGTCTACAGGGAATATCTTGAGGGAAGTTCCATGTAAAACGTCTTACACTGAGCTGTTTCCCATCTCCAATTGGCTCAACAAGCCACAGAGGTAAGAGGTCTTTGATAACTTTACAAAAGAACACGTATTTCAGTAGATGGGTTGAATGTCCTAAAGACGGCTAGCTCCCACAGAAATGTGTTGCTACACTAACCCATATCCACTCTGCGACCCGTGATAATTGAAGAGGAAGTTTATTAAAGAACCATCAAGGAGGATTACATATAGAAGGTACTACTGTGCAATGAACCCCTTGTGCCTTCCCAGCCATTCTTCATGTAGGCTGCATTGGACTAGAAGTGCAAAATTATCCCTCACAACATTTTAACGCTGCCTTTCCACCCAAATTAGGGCCAAACTAGGCATGACAGCACCCTCATGGCTGCCTTGAAGATGCCATCACCGTTTTAAAATGATTTTAAAATCACATGAGGATCTTGCAGCACAGCAGGCTGAGGGGTTCTTCCCCCCCCCATGCCTTATCGAGGTTCAAAATGGTCCCCATCCTGCAACTATTTTGGTACTTGAAAATGCTTGTGGGGGGAAGCACTATGCTATGGGACCAATCAGGATTGGGCCCTCACGGTACTTTAAAATCACTTTAAAATGGCAGCCACACGAGGACACTGTCATGTGTCGTTTGGCTCTTAGGGTCCCTGAGGTGGCAAATTTAGTGCTTTTCTAAGATGAAAGACAGGACTCAGTGCAATTCAGGACCACCATCTTGTGTCTGTGGGGTGGAGGGAATAGCCTTTTGCCCTAAGTCAGGGGTGTCAAACTCATTTGTAATGAGGGGCGATCTGACATAAATGAGACCTTGCTGGGCCGGGCCATGTGTGTCATAAAATGTAATGCCAGGTACTGGAGATATAAACTTTATAAAGGACACAGACAAACACAAAGATTTGTTAAACTTTAAATAAAACCTGCTTAAACCACTAGCACTCTTGCAATATTTTGTCTATTTAACAGTGTCTGATAACTGACACCTCTTGTTCTGAATTATTGCATCAAAATGTCTGTGCTGCAGCAATCTTGAGTATGCTGTTCAGGTGTGTATCTGTAAGCTGCAAACCTTGCACAGGAGAGGCTTGCCTATCTATCTCTCCTGTGCAATTGAGAGGCTGGTAAAGTAAGATGTGATGTAGTAGCAGCAGAACTGGGAAAGGAAGCAGGAAACAGCCAGGGCCTTGTGGGCCGGATTGCAGCCCTCCGAGGGCCTAATCTGGCCCCTGGGCCGCATGTTTGACACCCCTGCCCTAAGTTGACTAGTGAAAATTCAAAGAGAACAAATTCCAGGAGAGCAGGGTAGCCAACTGACCAGAAAATACAGTCTGGCCTGCTTTTTGTACCTTTAACACAAGATCTGAAACTGAACAGTAAGGAGATGTGCATGATCACCTGCTAATATCTGTAAATCCACCTGCTGTTAAAGGGTTAAAACAAGCACAAAGAAGATCACAGCTCCAGACTCATCTGTGTGCAGACCTGATCCAAAGGAAGGGGGTGGGAATTGCGCCCCTGAAAAAGGCCTTTGTTTTTCCCTTTAAAATGCTAATGCAGGGTTGAAGTCCCTCTCTTTTTTCTGATCTGATGTGCAATTTATGGTTTACAGACTGATAGAGTGTTGAAAACCTTCTTATGTCAGTTTGGCCCCCAAAAGCCCAGGTACCGAGGGCTGCTGAGAAGAGGCCAGCCCTGCAGGAGAGAGCGTGTGTCTGTGGATGTTTGGTTCAACGTAATAAGCAGGAGGTTTGGCCTGCAGGAGGAAGGATGCTTGTCTGGAGGTTGAGTGTAGCGTTGTGTTTACCTGTCTGCATGAGGGAAAAGAGGGGTGAGAAACTGGCACCCACTTTCCTTGCCGTCCCCTCCCAGGTTCCGTGTCTCAGTAGACATGATGAGACCAGAACGGCTGGAAGTTACCACCACCTTGAAAACCCTGGATTATATTGACGTTCCTGCCTCTTCCAAGAAGGATCACAAGCTCACCTTCTTCTCTTACAAGGAAGGGATGTACTGTGCAAAGGTAGAGATCCATCTCGCAAAGGGCATCTGCTGTGGTGAACCTTGCCCCTGGTGAATGCCTTCAGGAAATGGGTTCTGCATTATTTCATTCCAACAGAAAGTTAAGAGGCTTTGAAAATGCTGCTGATGCTCCCTTCTTAGAAAGCTTTTCATCAGGTCGGGGGGGGTGGGGAGCAGAAGCCACAGGTATCAGCGTAAGGAAGGCCATTCTACGGCACGTGCAGCTATGGATGCTTTGTGAAAAAAAGCGTTCCTGTGTCAGTGTTTCATGGTCAGTATCCCTTTGTTAGACGAGTCAGCACCTGTCTCTGTGTGGATGAGATTTAGAAGAAGAAGAGGAGGAGGAGGAGGAGATTGGATTTCTACCCCGCCATTCACTACCCAAAGGAGCCTCAGAGCGGCTTACAAACTCCTTTCCCTTCCCCTCCCCATCATTTTAAAATGCATATCCAAATTTACTGCTGCACACTAAATATGCATTGCCTTGTGGTAGGGTGCATGTGCAGTATTCAGTATATGTGCAGCTCCACAATGGGAAAATAACCTCCAGGGCTGTTTTGGCTCAGGGAAATGGTGCAGGGGAAGGCTGAAGCACCTCCCCCCAAATCACGGTTCAGAGCTGGGGCTGAGAGAGCTCAGACAGAAACTGCTCTTTTTCAAGGACAGCTCTTATCAGAGCTACAGCTTGCCCAAGGTCATCCAGCAGGTGCAAGTGGAGGAGTGGGGAATCAAACCCGGTTCTCCCAGACTAGAGTCCACACACTTAACCACTACACCCAACTGATGTAGCCTAGCTGCCATCTTTAGACAGAAAAATGGTGTTTAAACTATTAGAATAATAACAACAGTAACGCAGCCTGTTTTTAGCTCATTTTCTAGGACCTGCTCATCCACTGTTTACAAGAACTGGTGAATTCCGTTTTGTCAGTGATGCTGACATTTGTAGTTGGAATGCTCGCAACATCTGAAGTCCAGATTGCCAGTCTCCAGGCGGGGTGTAGAATTCTCACGGCATGGCGACTGATCTCCAGAAGGCAGAGATCAGTTCCCTTGGATGAAACAGGAGTTTTGGAATGTGTACGCCACGGCCTCACGTCCCCACTGAGCTCCCTCCCCTCCTCAGACTCAGCCCTTCCGACGCCCTGTCCCAAACCTCCAGGAATTTCCCAACCCAGAGTTGGCAACCCTGTTCCCTGGAGAGAAGGGAAGCAAGAGTCTGTGCGGCGGCGCTTCCCCTCTGAACTCCCTCCCCAGCACCCCCCCCCAGATCTCCAGGGATATCCCTTCCTGGAGTTGGCAACTCCATCTGAAACACGGCGACTAATTTTGGCTTGAGATTACAGGGGAGGAATAGAATTTGCTTTCTGTGTCAACTCGGTGCCACCGACAGGACTGATTCTCACATCCCCCTGTGACTGCAGGTGACGTTCCGCAACGAAGTGACGCAGGAGTACCTCTTCTACTTGGTCACTTTCAAGGCCATCCCTTGTGGCCCTCTTGGCACCATGGAGCTGAGCACCTCCGTCCGGCAGAGCACCACCTCCTCCCTGAAGGTTGAAAACCCCCTGCAGTATCCCGTGACCTTCAACACTGACTGCAAAGTGCCGGACATCAGCCTGCCACCCCAGATCATCGTCCCGGCTCAGTCTGAGGTAGGACTTTGCCTTGGAACCACACGCTGGCTCGGCCAGTGCTGAGCCTAAAGGGGAAATGGTCACTCTGCAGTCTGGCCACTGGCAAGCCATAGTTCTGACAAGAGCTGTTCTCGAAAGGGCAGTTTCTGTCAAGAGCTCTCTCAGCCTCACCTACCTCACAGGGTGTCTGTTGTGGGGAGGGGAAGGGAAAGGAGTTTGTAAGCCACTCTGAGACTCCAAGTGAAGGGTGAGGTATAAATCCAATCTCCTCTTCTTCTGGAGCTTTCTCTTTCTTCTTAATGCATTAGAAACCTGGATTTCCTTTCCACCGAACTCGGTGCTGACTCCTGATTCCTCTTTTTACCTCCCCTCTCAGACTTGTGGCAAATGGTTGGCAGCTTTCAATCTCCCATCTGGCAGTGACACTAGCACAAATCGTGTTCTCCCTCTGGTTGTCCTTTGCACCATACATTCAGGCTGTCTCACTTTTTATGTTGCTGTTTCTTGTAAAGAGCAGTGTTGCTTCTCACCTTCTCCAAAGCATCTCCCCCCCCCCTTCTGTTCTCATTGCACTCTGGCCTTCCCTCTTGATCTGAAAGGCAAACAGGGAATCTTTTTTCTAGCTTCTGGACTGCGTCCTCCTCTCTCTTATTCCTAATTTATTTTTTATATTATCCCACTCTTCCCTCAAGGAACTCAAGAGCGGCTTGTCAGCTTAACAACAACCCTGTGAGGTAGGATGAGCTGAGAGAAGAAGAGGAGACTGAAATTACACCCTGCCCTTCACTCAGAGTCTCAGAGTGGTTTACAAACTGCTTTCCCTTCCCCTCCCCATAACAGACACCCTGTAAGGCAGGTGGGGCTGAGAGAGCTCTTTCAAGAACACCTCTGACAGAACTACAGCTTGCCCAAGGTCATCCAGCAGCTACAAATGGAGGATTGGGGAATTGAACCCAGTTCCCCCAGAACCCTGAGTCTGCACACTTAACCACGACACCAAACCGGCTCTCAGGGACAATGACTTGTCCACCCAGGGAGCTTCATGGTTGCTGGAGGTCTGAACCTCATTTGCGTGTGGTACATTAATCTTTCTCCTTCTTAGCCTCAAACTCCAAGGAAGACTTTGGACTGGGGCTGAGTGGAGTCCCAGCAAGTCTCAGCCTCTGGTATTTTCTTGTTTCAATGGATGTATGAAGAGAGAGTGGTGTCGGGCAGTGGTCTCTCTAAGCTGAGTTAGTGTGAGCTAGCTCACAGTTTTTTAGCCTCCGGCTCACAGATTTTTGTCTTAGCTCAGGAAGGATGGCTCCAGAGCAAACTAATTCATGCAGCAGCCAAATCACTCATTCACATCTTTAATGCCAGGAGCTTACCAAGTAGAATTTTTGCTCACAGGACTCCACAGCTTAGAGGGAGCCTTGGTGTCGGGGGTAGCCAGGACTCAGTCTGAAAGCTGCTGTGTACTAGTGCCCCTTTCGCAAGGCACATGAGGGTGCAAAGTCAAGGGTGGAATTTTGTCTTCCCAGGCCCCCTTACTGAAGTGTAGTGGGTTAGACGCATGTAGAAACCACTGAGATAGATGTAGTGATCAGCATGGTTTACTGGTACACAACAAAGACAACATCTACTGGCTGGCTGGCCAACTATATACACACCTGGGGACACACCCCTAGGTCCCCTATGGCATACCACCTCTGTTATACTCTCTTGCCTTGAAAACCCCTTGAGAGGTCACGACAAGTCAGCTGGGACTTGACACCACTTCCCCCCCCCCCCCCGTGAGACACTCAAAAATGGGGAGAAGAAGAAGATGAGGAGGAGGAGGAGATTGGATTTATACCCCACCCTTCACTACCCAAAGGAGTCTCAGAGTGGCTTACAAACTCCTTTCCCTTCCCCTCCCCACAACAGACACCCTGTGAGGGAGGTGGGGCTGAGAGAGCTCTTGACAGAAACTGTTCTTCTTCGAGAACAGCTGTGCCAGAGTTATGGCTTGCCCAAGGTCATCCAGCAGGTGCAAGTGGAGGAGTGGGGAATCAAACCCGGTTCTCCCAGATTAGAGTCCGCGCACTTAACCACTACACCAAACTGGCTCACTTACCTAAGCTGGCCTGGCTCCAAGTCCCACCAGCTGAGGCCTCAGTCTTTGTCTGGGCAGCTGCTAAATGGTGGCCTTGTCTATATGACTTTCTCCTTGTCCCACTTTTGCTCCTTCTGGCCAGTGCCTGCCTCTACACTGACCTTCTGTGCTTTTTTGATGGAGAACTGCTAGCTTTTGAGTTAGGTAAAGGTTTCCCTTGCTCGAAGGCCAGTCAGATCCGATCCTAGGGATGCGGTGCTCATCTCTGTTTCCAAGCCGAAGAGCCAGCGCTGCCCAAAGACGTTTCCGTGGTCATGTGGCTGGCATGACTAGATGCCGAGGCGCACAGAACACTTTTGAGTTACTACATCCCAATCCCACCTGGAGTTACGCCTTCTTTTCATCACAGGCTCCTTTAACGTACTTCTGCCTGGGACTGTTGGAGAGATGGTTTAGGAATGTGGCGTGAATGCAGATTCTTTCCTGAATGCTGCTCCTCAGAGGCAAGGGCCCCTCCTTGTCTTGATCATTTGCTCTCTCTCTCTTGGCCCAGGGGACACTCACCTTTGAATTCCAACCAATGAGGCCTGGAGAAACGAGTGGACGTCTGACCCTGAACAGCAATGAGTTGGGTTCCTTCCAGTACGACCTGATCTTGAAAGCCACACCAGCCCGGCCAGAGAAGGCCCTCTACTTCTGTACCATGCTGGGCAGCAGCCAGAATATTATCACCAAGTTTATCAATTACACCCGTCAAAAGACAGAGTATTCCACCAAAGTGAGTTGGGCAGGACTCTCTGGTTTGATGTCAGTTGCCTATGAGGGTTCAGATGAAGCTAGCCATGGTACTAGCCAGTGCCGAATCTGACCCTTCAATAACAAAATGGTGCCCAGGCCATGCTTGAGGACAGTTATATGCTGAGTGCTCCCTGGTGCCTGTCATTCCTTCCTGCCCGTTTATGTAACACTTGTCAAGTAGGGACAAAAAGCTGAACATAGAAACCTGGGATCCAGAACCTGAAATGTTAGTCAAATAGAAAAGAGGACCAAGAATAAAAGCTTAATATATATAGTATATAAAAAGATACATGTATTTATTAGCAAAGAATTTTAAAATATATAAGGACAATTCTACTGAGGACACTTTGGCTAAACAATCGTAGGAAGGCACTTTCTGGACCAGAAATTATTACCAGTGAAACACCACTTGGCATGTGATTGCATCTTTGGAGGCCACATTTGTACTTTTATTCTGTGCCTGGTGGTTTCATTTTGGAACAACTTTTTCCTGGTCCTTGTATTTATATTTTATTTCTATATGATTGTACGGTACTATTATAGAAGCCAATATGTTCCTCACTGTGTTTGACCTCTGAAGAAGGCCTATGCAGGCTGAAACGCGTCAGATCTAGTCCATTGGCCCTTGTGTGCTAGATTCTGGTATTTTTACATGAGCTGTGCTTGTGCCCTTATATATAAATTCTTTGTCAATAACTACTAAGCTTTTATTCTTGGCCCTCTTTTCTATTTGACTAACCTTTTCAGGTTCTGGAACACTTGTCAAGTAGTCCATGAAGTTGCTGCCCGTTAGTTGGAAAGTGCATGAAGAGTCACAGGAAGTGGCTGTAGTATGCTGAACCAATAAGCAGTCTGTGGTCTCAGGATGGTCCCTCTAGGCACTCAGGCAGAAAGTCTTTTTAAGCCTTGCCCAGGACTGAACTTGGGACCTCATCCAGGCGAACCATGTTTTCTGCCACTGAGTGATGGCCATTGCGGTGTGTAGTTTATCCCTCCACTGCCACAAGTGGGGAGAAGAGCTGGTAGCTGAATCCCCTGCCTTGCAACACCCGATAACCCTGATGGGTCTTGCTGTGTGTGCCTCTATACAAGAATGTGAAATATTTCTGGTCTGTTTTTCTGTCTATGTGACCTTTGAGCAGGGGGTTGGGGGACACTGGAGGTAAGACTAGGAACAAAGCTTCCTGACGAGTCACATCATTTTGTGTGGGATCATTCAGCATTCTGTTTTACAAGCTTTTTTGATAAGATTGTGGTCAGGGCCTGCCCCAAACCTGTGTACCTAAGGGTGGGGGTGTCTTTGGGATTCTGACTAAAATATCTTCCTCTAGGACAGGGACCCCCAACGTGGTACCTGGGGGAGCTGGCTATCCACTGACACCTTTTCAGGTGCCCATCAAGTGCTTTTACAAAGTAGGCAGGACCAGGCGGGACTTTTGCCCAACAAGGATTCTGATTGGCCACTGGAGATTTGATTGGCTGTGCAGATTTTTTTAATAATGCTGTTTTGGCAGCAGCTGTGTGAGTGAGGATAAGCAGCAGCAGCCATTTTGAGATGGCACCTACTACACCATGTCAGAATTCCAAAGGTGTCCTCAGGTCCAAAAAAGTTGGGGATCCCTGCTCTAGGATAAACCACAGAGATGACCGGCTGTACCAGGATGCTATCTGGCCACTCCCCCTCCCCTCTCCCTCCAAGGTAAGGGGGGGGGTCACTAAGAATGGCATACACAGGGTGTAAAGTCTCTTCCCCGATTCCCAAGTAACCACTCTCTTACTGACAGGTAACATTACTTGAACTAGGTGCATGAAGTTATATTTGAGCTTGCAGAGTTATGCCAGTCCAAAGCCTTGACCCTGCATCCCATAGTTTTACTGGCAAAATGCAGAGGAAAAGGCACCAGGGAGAAAGCAAAAAGAGGAATATAATTCTAGATTCTTTACTCTGGCTTTTCCTTGGGGATCATTTGATGAGCTAGCCCTTAACTCTCTGGGAAGTGTTCAGGCTAAGAGTCAGCATGTGTGTGCCATACCACTGAATATATGGGGAATATATGAGGAACAAGCATCCTTTCTGTGTTTAGATGCAGTGGGCATCATCTGGCTCAAGGCATTCCCCTTCTCTCTCACACACTGAAGGCAATAGCACCTGCCAGTTGCAGGTCTGAACCAGTAGTGCTGTTTTAGACAATGAAAGCCTGCCAGCCAGTTCATTAACAGCATTTAATCAGATGGATTATTTTTAATCATTTAATTGACCAAACTTTACAGCTATAGATTTATAGAAATCAGTTGTTTGATGCTTGATTGCCTGATAGAGCCAGTTTTGTGTAGTGGTTAAGTGCGCGGACTTCTAATCTGGGAGAACCGGGTTTGATTCCCCACTCCTCCACTTGCACCTGGCTGGATGACCTTGGGCAAGCCGTAGTTCTGATAAGAGCTGTTCTTGAAGAAGAGCAGTTTCTGTCAAGAGCTCTCTCAGCCCCACCTCCCTCACAGGGTGTCTGTTGTGGGGAGGGGAAGGGAAAGGAGTTTGTAAGCCACTCTGAGACTCCTTTGGGTAGTGAAGGGCGGGGTATAAATCCAATCTCTTCTCTCTTCTCTATGGGACAGAGGCAGACTTTGGTTGGGCTCCATCTTGAGTGCTTGGCCAGCTATGGAGAAACCAGATGATGAGCTACTGAGCCTGGACATGAGTACATTCAAAGTTATTTTGGTTCTTATCTCCTGAGTCTGCTGGACAATGCTCTGTGTAACACAACCCAATGCTGTTGGGGTTTTCAATAAATGATGAATGTTTGCTTCTTCTTACTTTATTCAGAGAAGTCCAGAGCACATTGGCTTTTTAGACATAATAACAACAGAAGTAAAACTTAACATTAAGAATACATAATGAGTTAGTTTGTGAATTTTTGTTGTTGTTCAGTCGCACAGTCGAGTCCGACTCTTCGCGACCCCATGGACCAGATCCCGCCAGGCCTTCCTGTCTTCCGCTGTCCTCTGAAGTTTGCTCAATTTCATGTTCGTTGCATCTATGACACTGTCTAACCATCTCATCCTTTGCCATCCCCGTCTTCTTTGACCTTCAATTTTGTGAATTGTATAGATGCTAAAAAAGTGATCTAAAACTGGATGGAATAACTACAAACCAGTGCCGGTATCAATCAAGGAAAGGATGGAGCTACGCAATAATTACTACAAATACTAACTAGTCAAATTAGCACAACTTTTAGAGCTGCTGAGATAAATTTGGCAGCAACCCATGTAATATGCCGGTCATTTCTAGATACATGATTAAGAAGGTGATAGTTGTTGGGTTTGCTTATTTTGTGTTACTGACACAGTAACCCTGTCACGTTCTCTCTCTTCAGATTGACAGCCCTGATTTCCATGCAGACAAAGTCATCAATGCAGCTGCAGGATCTCAAACAGGCACAGAAGTCCACGTGGAGGTGACCTTTGAACCTTGCCAACTGGGAGAAACAAGGGGAACGCTTGTCCTCTCCTCCACCACAGGGGGAGACTACGTAATCCCTCTCTTTGGCACGTCAGTTCCCCCAAAGCCTCAGGGGCCTTTTCAGATCAAAAGTGGGTCCAGCACAACCATCATCTTCAAGAATGTATTCTTGCAGCCCATGTCCTTCACCTATGCTGTGGAGAACCCTGCCTTCACTGTTAAGGCCCCGGAAAACATTCGTTCCAAGAAATCTGCCACAATTCTAGTCTCTTTTGATGGGCATCCTAGTGGCACCAAAGCCCCCGTCACCAGCAAGTTGGTTGTCTCTTGCCCACGTGTGACTGGGGTGGGCTCAGGTATCTCCTGGGTTTACTATCTAAAGGGTATCATGCCTGAGAAATGAGCACATAGAGACTCACAGAGTGGCCCCGCTTGTTCAAGCATTGCCATCGAGGAAGGACAGGCCTCTGATTCCTACTGTCCAGCTTCCCCATGGGTTGCTTCCTGTGCTTCCAGCTGTATATTCCAAGAGCAAAAAAGCCCTGTATGGATAAATGCCCCCAGGACAAGTGGGAAGGCTGCAGGGTGTATTCTGCAGGCCTTGCACAGGTAAGAGCCTCACCAGAACGCATGTACAGGAAGACAGCATGCACTATTCTAGGAGCATTCTTCCTGTCTTAAAGTTTCTTTCAACACAAGGTGTAACTCCTGAATGAGTTACGGAAGTTACAGCCCAGAATGTTGCCTGGAAATGTGCAAGATGACCCCCTTGAAGTCCAGGATCTGAAAGAGTTTCTCATTCCTTTTGGGAAGGCTCATTTGTTACATAAGATTTTATTTTGGAATAAACTTATTAAATAAAATGGAGTTGTTGGAAAGTTTGTCAGGACGAGCACTTGAGCAGGATTCTAGAACCTGTTTGAGGGAAAATCAGGCCCAAGAAGCAGGTATCTTCCCAAGCTTGGCATCAAAAGGTTCATAGATTGCAGTTGTATAAAACCCCTGCCAAGGGGCATTTTTGTGTATAAAATTACCTGAGACAGATGACAGAACAGGTTAAGAAGATCATCAGCTTCTGTGATGGTATAGAACTAGTAGTCAAATCAATCACATCCAGAGGAGAGACAAAATTTCCAGTCATTTTGTCTGTTATATTTATTTTATGCCGCCTTTTCAGAGTGTTACTTGAAGCAGCTTACAACTAAAAACCATGGCATAAATACAAGCCATTAGTCATGAGCGGCATAAAAACTATTCATAAAACAGAGCTGACCATTAAAAAGATGGTAAGATAAAACCTCTAAGTAAAGACCTAGGTAAAAACATACGCCTGACACCAAAAAGCAAGCAAAGTAGGTTGCAGCCGAGCCTTAAGGGGGGAGGGCGTTTTAAAGTTGGTGCCGCCACAGAAAATGCCCTGTCCCTAGTCACCAACTGCCTCATCTTTGACGGCAGGGACACAGAGAGCAGGGCCTGAGAGGACATTTTAACAGAAGGGCTGGATAGTATGGGAGGAGATGGTCCTTTACCCTTCACTGGTCAAATGGAATCACTCTGTCTCTGTTACTGTCCTAAGTTTCTTCCTTTCTGGTGTGTGTTTTAGCAGGCCAGGTGTGGAAATGCACACTCTAATACTAGGGAACACAATCTGGTGCCCAAAGAATATCAGCTTTAAAAAAAAACCCGAAAGACCAAAAAAGAATACACATTGTTGGGACTTATGGCTGCAGAGAGAAGCTTGAGAGTACATGCCCCCAGGAGAGTCCCTGTATCCAGTACAGTTTTAAAACCTTGAGGTGAAAGGGTCTACCCCTAATTAAAGGGGGTGGACCAGGGCCTTGCACAGATCCCACCCTGTCTCCCCAAAGTGCTCTTTTATGCCAGAACAGTAGCTGCTCCTGGACCAAATCCATAGCTGAGACCAAAAGCGCAGCCAGCAGGATCAACTGGGCCACTCTCAGCATCCTAAGCCCTACCAGGTGTTCTTTGCAGTTATATGCAACACAGTCCATTCCAGCATCTTGGTTCCCACAAGCCAAGTATAACCAGCCTGTAAGTCAACACAGCCTTTGGCTGGCTGCAGACCAAACCATGAAGGGTCTCTGTTATAGCATCTTCCCTACAGAATGCAGCTGGATAAATCAAATTCAGCCTGTGGGAGTATTTTATCCGGACCTTGAGCTGCTTAACAGTTTGTACAGAGTAGCAGCATCTGGCAGCATTTCCACACAACCAACTCACATTAATTTAAAACAACGGTAAAGTAGAATAGACATAGGCCCTGGTCACACAGCAAAGTTGCTGCGGGAGAGGCACGGATGGTGGGCGGATTATCTGGGCGCGATCACACCCCAACATCTGGGAAGTGGAGCATCTTGGAGCGCACCCGTGGCTTACCGCCGACAATGCGCGTTAAAAAACTAGTACCTCCAAGGTACTAGTAAACGTTTGCCACGGGCTGCCTCCAGACGCCCGTGGTGTGATTGCGCCGTCGCGCGGCATTCCCCTCCGGTCCCTTGTTTACCCGCTGGTGCCGAGGGAAGGACCCGTGGTGCGCCGGGGCAATTAGCCACGCCTACCCCCGCAATATCCGGCCTGTGTGACCGGGGCCAGAAAAGAGTATTACAGCAACAAGGAACAGTGGGCACATATATAGGGCGGGAGGCTGCCATCAGAGCCCAGATCATGCCTCCATGAAAAGAAAACAAGTTATGGGTACGCCAGGGCTCTTTTTGTAGAAAAAGCCCAGCAGGAACTCATTAGCATAATAGGCCACACCCAACAGCAGGAACTCATTAGCATATTGGGCCACACCCCAGACAGCACAGCTCATTAGCACATTAGGCCACACCCCCATGTTACCAGACGTGTGGTCATCCAGCCACACTCACCTTTTGCTTGTTATTCTGTTTATCTTGTTTGTTGTCAAAACACAGGGCCTTTTTTTGTAGCAGGAACTCCTTTGCATGTTAGGCCACACACCCCTAATGTAGCCAACCCTAATGAGTTTCTGCTGTTGGGTGTGGCCTATTATGCTAATGAGTTCCTGCTGGGCGTGGCCAACTTGGGAGCCAGCCGGAACTCCGTTCCTGTGCGTTCCTGCCCAAAAATAGCCCTGTGGGTACCTATTAAGTTTTTCCTAGTAGGATAAAAAGCAGTGTAAGGTGACTTCTTTCAAGAAAGGAGGAAAGGGTTAAAGAGTCCCCCTGCATATGTTGTTCTTGTCCCTAAAAAAGTAGTCCCAGCAGCTAAATTTGCAAAAGAAAGCAAGTTGTTTAAAATGAATACAGAAGAAAACTTTAAAGTGCAGTTTGGGGTGGGGGGGAAGGATGTGGGATGCTTATATATCTGTGTGTGGGGGTGAATAAGAAAGAAGATGGGACAAGACACTTGTTCGGCAGGGAAGGAATAAGAATGAAAGAAACGGAATGGGGTGCTTGTTGAAAGCAAGAGGAAATACGGTGCTATGGAGGGGGAAAGAGGGTGTGATGCTTATAGTCTATATGAACAATTCCAGTAGGGTAGCCTTGTCAGTCTGTTGCAGCAGGAGTCCAGTGTCACACTGAAAATTAATATTCATTCCAACATAACCTTTGCAAGTCAGAGCTCACTTCCTCAGATGCACTGAAGTGTGTGTCCATTAGGCAAACATTTGGTGGGATCAGTGTGAGAGGGAGAGATAAGAGGGAAGGTGTTGCAAAGAGGGCAGTTGAAAACAATACCCAATCACTCTTTTGAGTGGATATTTTTAAACTGGTCTTTCTTTGTTACCTGTCACACACACTCCTTCTGTTGTCTGCAGCTTTGAACGTGAATACATTTACCTAACACACTGCAAGCATCTAAGGAAGTGAGCTCTAACTCAGAGAAGCTTATGCAGGAATAAATATTGTTAGTCTTAAAAAATGCCCCTATTTAATGTTTTAGTCTGTGTGGTTTCTTGTTAAGAAAGGGGAGTTGTTTGTGGAAGCAGTGATAACCAGAGCTGGGCATGATAGCATCTAGCCTGCCATTCGACTTCCATACCAGAATGTAGCCTTCAGGTGAGATGAAAAGATGTGCTGGCTTTGGCTAAACGGCACCCATCCCAGCAGAGAGGGCTGCATTGTGGGGTTGCCAGCTTCCAGGAGCTGCCTGGAGATCTCCCTGGGGTTGCCAACTTTCAGTTCCTCTAGCTGTCTCTTTGCTATCAGTTGTATTTACAGTAAATCCCAGATGACTTTTACCTCCGCATCAGGAAGAGCTTCAACCGCCCATTTCCATGCATTCAGGCGCGGTCCTTTTTCTCCTGGCCAACTGACAATCCTGCATCTACCAGAATAGGGTTGCCAGCTCAGAGTTGGGAAATAGCTGGAGATTTTGGGGGTGGAGTCTGGAGAGGGGAAGGACCTCAGCAGGGTATAATGCCAATAGAGTCCACCCTCCAAAGCAGCCATTTTCTTCAGGGGAACTGATCTCGATCATCTGGAGATTAATTGTAATAGTGCAGGGGTGGCCAAACTGTGACTTGGGAGAGGCATACGGCTCTTTCACACACTGTGTGGCTCCCGGCAGGGCGGCTGGGGAAGCTAAATATCATTCGCAAACAAATATCATTGGACAAATAAATATCATTATCAATACCTGCTTTGACTGCTTTTGTTATCATTTTCTAATTTGCATACTCCCCAGTAAAAACGCGTAATATTTGTCCACGTCTTGTGGCTCTCAAACATCTGATGTTTATTCTATGTGGCTCTTACATTAAGCAAGTTTGGCCACCGCTGTAATAGTGGGATATCTCCAGGTGTCCCATGGAGTCTGGCAAACCTATCCCAGAATTGCAACTGCAGTTTCTCTTTAGGAAACGGCAACTTCGGAAGATTGTATTACATCCCTACTGAGCTTCCTCCCCGAACTCCCTCCTCCCTAGGCTTTGCCCCAAGCCTCCAGGAATTTCCACAGCTAGGCTACACTTCCGGCTAAGGGGGGAGCGGAGACCGCGCCTGAAGCCCTTCCTCAAAGCGGAGAAAATCCCAGTACCGTCAAGCAAAATTCCCTCTGCAAAGCAAAAAAAACCCCTGCCTCTGCACAGGCACGGAACACCCCGCCCAGACTGAAGTTGTTGCCAGCTGTTGTGATTCTGGTGAGCGCGGAAGTCCGAAGCCGGCCGAGGGCGGGGCCATCGCCTCCCTCGCCCAATGGGGCTGCGCCGATGGCGGAAGTGGGCGGCAAACGGGCAAGCTCCCCCGTGCCCGCATTGAAGATGGCGTCGGCTTGAGCACCGCCTCCTCCGCTACAGCAGCCGGCAGGTCGCCTCACGCCCCACCAACGCGCGGGGGAAGAAGAAGTCCCGCGAGCGCCCCGGCTCCCCCTCTCCCCGGCAGCGAGATGAACCCCGAGAAGGACTTCGCGCCCCTCACGCCGGGCATCGTGCGGGCCCTGAACGACAAGCTCTACGAGAAGAGGAAAGTGGCGGCGCTCGAGATCGAGAAGTGAGCCCGGGAGGGTGGGAGGCGGGGGCACCCCCGTGGTACGGAGCGCCCGGGGGAAGTGGGGTGGCGGAAGGCCCCCGTGCCTATCGCTCCTTTTCCCGGGGCCCCCCCGCCCGCCGCCTCCTCGCATTCTTGGCGTGTTTGGCTGACTTAGGCCTGGTCTAGACAGGCAACGGGACGAGGCGTTTGAATGAGCTGGAGTCTAATCCAGGAAGTAGGTGGCGGGTCACGTTTCTTAAGGTTTTCGTGCCTTTGAAAACTCCGGGTCAGTAAGTGAAAACATCAGCTCGTCAGAATGAGTAGTTCTAGTCCAGCTCTTTGCGTGTGATCCCGCTTTCCCTCTCCGCCTGGGAATTATTAAGGCGGCGGGACTTGGGGGAAGAGTGTTGTTCTAACTCTTTTTGTGGTGCAGCCCACTCGATCACCTCCCCTGCGCTTGGTTCTGCTGCAGGGAATAGCCTTGACTTTGACTTCACCCGTGTTAATTTATACCCCTTGTCTCCCCATTGGGGAGCTGCAGTGGTTTGTGTAATTCCTTGTGAAGTAGGCTAGGCTAGGAATAGGAAGAAGAGTTGGATGTATACCCCACCCTTCACTGGGAGTCTCAGAGCGGCTTACAATCTCCCTCCCCCCACTCTGTGAGGTAGTTGGGGCCGAGAGAGCTGTGAGAGAACTGCTCTTGAGAGAACAGCTCTGAGAGAACTGTGACTGATCCAAGGTAACGTAGCTGGCTGCATGCGGTGGAGTGGGAAAGCAAACCCGGTTCTCCGTATTAGAGCCCGCCATTCTTAACTACTACACCAAACTGTATATGATCAGCCCAAGGCCACCCAGCAAGCTTCTATGGGAAAGTGGGGTTTTGAATTGGGTTCTTCAAGGTTCTAGTGTGGTACTCTAGAGTCTAACCACTACACCGTGCTGTCTAGGGATCTTACAGTGTTGCATTCTACTGATTCAGGCTGTTGGTCTGCCAAAGTCAGTATGGTTGGTTCTATCTGGCAGGACTCTCAGGCAGAAGATGGTTCATTTCATCTATGACCCAACAGGAGATTACAAGGATTGAGGCTGCACGCAAAGTGCAAAGCAAATGACTTATGCTGATTGTGGGAAAAATGGGGTTGGGGCGTTGTCTGTGCATCCTTGGTGGCCTCCCTAAGATTGCAGAAAATGATAACCTTGTGAAGTAATCCAGAGCAAGAGAAATAGCCTCTTACCTCAAACATCCTGAGGGGGCTCCAAGTGGTACAGAATGGTATGGCTTATTTATTTAGTACATTTTTTAATCCCTCCCCCTTTCCTTCAAGGGGCTCTGGGCAATGTACGTGATTCTGCTGTCCCCTCACAGCAACACTGTCATGTAAGTGAGGCTGAGAGAGTGCAGTGAATTTCCTAGCTGAGTGCAGACCCGAATCTGGGTCTCCAGAGTCTGAGCGTAACACTTGAGCCACTGCATCATTTTGGTTCTCTGGGTAGGTTAAAGGGAGTCAACTAATGGAAAGGAAAAGAGGGAGATGGGGGTATTAGTCAACTCAAGGCCATAATAGATACAAACAGAGGCTTTCCTAGCAATTTATATCCCTGTTATTTTTCATGGGGCTCCCAAACTTGCTAGATCTATAAGCAGCCAGTCTGGTGAGGAAGCTGCTGCTGAAGGAATGGTTGACTGCCTTCTGCTTTACCATATTCATTTTTCCAACTAAGATTGAAGCTTAAAGAGATGGATCCTGGGATTTGGCTGATCCAGCATATCTTTCAACTACAGAAGGTCTCAAGGTCAGTCCCTGACATCTCCACTTGCAGGGTCTCAGGTTGCAAGTTCTGCCTGAGAACTGGAAGAGCTGCTGTCAGACTATGTAACAGCTAGTAAGCCAGACCATTTATCTCTTTTGGCAGAAGGTGGCTCCTGTGCCCTTACAGAATTCTTTGTGCATACGCTTTGCACTGTGTTGTGGGGGTATTGCATTATTGATTAAGTCTTAAGAATTATGTGTCAGCTCCAGGTGAAGTGAGACACATAGCGTGGTGCTGAAAATACCTCTCTCTTTGGTTCCTAGGCTGGTGCGTGAATTCGTGTCTCAGAACAGCACAGCTCAGATCAAGCACGTCATTCAGATTTTGTCCCAGGAGTTTGCACTTTCCCAGCACCCACATAGCCGGAAAGGGGGTCTTATTGGTTTGGCAGCCTGCTCCATTGCTCTTGGGAAGGTAGGTTCTGAATTCAGTTCCCTCACAGATAAAGACTAAGCCTTTTGTGGCTGTGATGGTGGGGGTCTATGTCCTGTCACCCTGGGGAAGTTCATTATAACTGAGAAAGGGGACTGGTTTCTATTAATGCCTCTGTCACCCTGGGGAAGTTCATTATAACTAAGTGAGAAAGGGGACTGGTTTCTATTAATGCCCACTTTGTCTACAGCTTAAGGATAAAGGAAGCAGGCTGGAAGAGGGCTTATTGTGCCCATGACATTCTTCAAGATACTTATCAGGAGCACCACAGAGAATGGAAAAGCTTATGTGAAAAACAAGTTTCCACATTTATCCTCAGCACTAATGGACAGTGTGAGGTTTGGAACCCACAGTCACTTCTCTCACTGAATTGGGTCAGGAAACCCAACGATGAGTATATATCTTGGTTCCCCATTCACTGCAGGGGACACTGGATTGGATCCTGCAATTGTCAAGCATAAGTGTCACGAGGGGTTTTCCTTCCTGTCCCCTAAGCCCTTTCTGACCCTGGAAAGTTCATTTCTGGGCTCAAGGGATTCATTCCCATTCGGGAATGGGGAAGGGAATGAATTATTTCCTTTCTCTTTCTTCTGTGGATGAAGCGCTACTCAAATAAAAAGCAGAAAGGGCAATCTTATTCCTGACCTGCATGGTTGTTGGCATACACCAGCCCCTTCTTGACCTTGAGAGTAAACACTGCAAGGGGCAGTAGGGAAGCTCCTGGACCACTAGCACCTTCTGCTGATGGTTCATAGGATCCAAGCCTTTGAATAAACCTAATTGCAGCATTGAACAATGGGTGATGTAATTCATTACCAGTACGTTTATTTTAGTTACCTAACTAGCTTAGGGGGCTTTAAAAGGGGGTTGCATTAATTTGTGAAGCATATTAGTAGTCATTAACCAAAATAGCCTACATGTACCAGATGCCTTGGATTAGCAGGGAAAGGCTTCACTTTCCAGGCTGTTCTCGTGAGCTTCCACGAGCATCTGTCTGGCTGCTATTGGGCATGGAGGGCTGGCTAGATGTCATCCAGCTAAATTAAATTAACCTGCCTGGGAGCATTTCCCTTTAATCTGCTTTCCTCACAGAACTTCCATACTGCAGCATGAGCCCTCTTTTTTTGGTACTGTCTACAGGGGATGAGATGTCTCATTTATTTCTCTTCTGCGGATGGAGCTCTGCTCAGATAAAAAGTAGAAAGGGCAATCTTATTCTTGACTTGCCTGGCTGTTGCCATGCACCAGTCCTTCCTTGACCTCAAGAATAAATGTGGCCGGGGGGCAGTAGGGAAGCTACCTCCTGTTTGACCCTCCATGTTGAGGAAATGGCGTCTCAGTCGTGGCTCTGACTATGCAGAACAATCCGTAATGGGGGACACCATGTTTGAAAGCTTTCAGGAGAAGGTGGAAGACTGTTGGGTTCCAGAAAACATTTCAGGAATGGTACATACTATACATGTTTGATTGCTGATGAGGGTTTTCTGCATTGAAGTTATGGTGTGGTTGAATGTGTTGAGTGGATGCCGTGAGCATTGACACATATTTAATCATTGTCAGTTATGGCTGTAGGCTCTTTCTAAGGCTGCATGGGTTTTTTGTGGGGAAATATAGTAATAATATTCTAAACACAAATAAATTAATCTTGGGTTTAAAACAGTGGTAAGGATATTTTGTGCTTTTCAAAAAATAAAACCAGTACCTTTATTCCCATTGAAATCGCTGTTTTGCTATTACATGTTGGAATTGCGGTCATCATTTTAAAATGCATATCCAAATTTACTGCTGCACACTAAATATGCATTGCCTTGTAGGGTGCATGTGCAGTATTCAGTATATGTGCAGCTCCACAATGGGAAAATAACCTCCAGGGCTGTTTTGGCTCAGGGAAATGGTGCAGGGGAAGGCTGAAGCACCTCCCCCCAAATCACGGTTCAGAGCTGAATAAGGTCCCAACATGCTTGGGAACTTTATTTCCTTCATGTAACTTTTGGATACAACTTGATTGGAGTCTGGTTGGGAGAACCCCGAACCCTACTCTGGCCAAACCTTGTTGTCTTGTTTGGCCCTAATTAACAGGTAGCATATTAACAGTGCAATCTGATGCCGAGTCACAAAAATGAGTGGTGCGGGTGGTTACTGTGAGAGCTTCATAAAGGTAAATTGCTGTAGCTGTATGGGCTTCTTCCTTTGAGCCCCACGCACAAGGGTATGTCTCTGTCCAGTATACGCCTTTTAATCATAGGAGAGTTTAAACTGCAGCTGGGGGAGGTTGCAAGTCAGAGCTTTTGAAAGAAACTGGTTCTGAAAGTTACATGGCTGTGCCTCTTAACATCACAGCCTGCACTTGCATATTTGGGCGTGAAAGAGTTGCATCTTGTCAATGTTGTAAAGACAGAAGGGCTTTATCCATGCCAGTTTCTATCTTATCTAGCCTGGGCTCTTGCTACAGCACACATGGGAAGTGCCATCGCCTGTGAACATTGCATGCATGCCGCCCTAGTTTAAATGAGACGGTTGGGTGCCCACGAAATCCTCACAGTCAGTGTCAATAGCATTTGAAAGCACCAAGGTGTTTGAGAGGCTTTCCTTGACTCGATCATGTGTGCGCATTTTAAGATGCTGAATCCAACTCTTTGCCCACCTGCTCTGCGCAACAGGAGCTCTTCAAGGTCTTTCCCTGCCCTGTGTCCTATCCTCATTTTAACTGGAGATGCCAGAAGGATGGATCTGGGGTCTCTGTCCCAAGCATCTGCTTTGCTACTGAACTGGTCCCCCCTTCTTCCGGGGTGGAGCTGACTTACTTCCCCGCTGTGATGACAATCTAAGTTTGCCAGTGACTCGCCCTGAAAAGAGTCTGACCCTAAATTCAGTACTTGGAAATGATTTTTTTAAAAAAATTATCACCACCAGATACTAATTAGGCTTCAGAGTGACAGGGCAGATTTTTGCTTTCTCACATGGAAAATAGTAGTAAGAGAATCTGGTTGTGTCTTTTAGGCTGGGTGGCTCTCAGATGGAGGCGCTTCATCGATAGGTGACCCTACAAATATTAAAGGAGGAACTTCACTGCCTGCAGTCATTCTGTAGGGACCCCAAAATTGTCGTAAATGGATTATAAAACCACGAGAGAGTGCTGAAAACTTTTATTTGATGCTTTGGACATGTTCAGAAATGTCTCTGGGCTGTATTTTTTGGTATGGGAAACAGTTTTCTAAATATGGGCGATACCTGGAACCATAGAGACCTATTCTGTCTTCCATAGCAAATTTGTTGCTGTTGCCACAGACTCAGTCAGACTTAATTCACTTGTGATCCTCCTAGTGAGGAGCACCTTTATTTTAGTTCATTTCCCTCAGGAGCCAGATCAGGAAGGAAGGAATGGAGGTTCTTACGGGACAGGAGGAGCTCTACATGGCAGATAAATTCTTGGTAGTAGTGCCAGAGCCTGGCAGCAGTAATATGACTCTGCCTGATTTAGCAGGCCCAGTGAGGTGCCCAGGAGCATCGTGACACCCGGCTCTGTGTTTCCTGCTGCCACTGGCTTCTGGAGGGGGCGGGATTTCAAAGGGTCTTAAATGGAGAAGGAGAAGAAAAACAGGGACTTGGGTCACTCCCTACCTGATAACTGACTAGCAAAGTGCTGAGCTCATCCTGGCAAGACACATCACAGCCATGCATCTTTGATTTGGCTGCAGTCTCAGGTTTCCCTATGCCCCTGGGGCTTTGGAGGCTTCTCCCTGTGGCTGAGCAGGGAGGGTGCTCTCCCCATTCCTTTGAAACTGAACAACAAAACGAACATCCAGCCTTGCCCTCCACTGCAAATGTTCTGAGATCGCCCTGCCCCCAGGTTTCGTGATGGTGCCCCTTAACCTTTCCCAAATGGCTCAACAAGTCTGGGTCGGCCCCAGTGTCAGTCCCCAGGGGTTCTCGGTGTAGGCGTTCCAACCTCGGCCAGGGATGTCTTGGGTTCAAGTCAGTGTGGGGTGCCCTTTGCAGGGCTAGTTGTTCCATTTCAGTTCCAAGCTACCTTTATGCATTTACTGACCCTTTCCTATTTTGACACCATTAAAGCACCTTCCGTTACTTTTCCCTCTGGTTTGTTTGCCAGGACTCTGGGCTATACTTGAAGGAGCTGATTGAGCCGGTGCTGACCTGCTTCAATGACTCTGACAGCCGCTTGCGATATTACGCCTGTGAGGCTCTGTACAACATTGTGAAGGTGGCCAGGGGCTCTGTCCTCCCCCACTTCAATGTGCTGTTTGATGGCTTAAGCAAGGTAACAAGGTTTCTTTGGACCGACAAGCCCAGAGAGTGCCCTGACATGGGTAGTCCAGGCTAGCCTGATCCCGTCAGATCTCAGAGGTTCGGCCTTGGCTAGTACTTGGAAGGGTGACCTGCAAGGAATCCCAGGGTTGGGATACAGAGACAGACAGTGGCAAAACCACCTCTGAAACATCTCTTGCCTTAAAAACAAGTCTAACTCACCACCTAGTGGTGCATAACGCTGAGAGGTAGAACTGCCGGCTAACAGACAATGTCAGGATTTCCTGGCTATTGTACACACAGTGCCATACAATAATAAGAAGCCAAGAGATCCTCCCAAATTAAAGGCCCCTGTTGTAATGCTGGTTGCTGTTGTGAGAAATCCAGCTTGGGTTCTTTTGGGAAAGCAGCTGCAGCCTCCTCCTGCAAGGGAGGTCAGGGTGCCCATCCCAGCCTCACTTGCTATAGACCTGTTGTTAGCAGAAGAAGCCTCAATAGTGCGCATGATGCGCTTGTGCTGTCCAGTTTGCAGTGACTGCCACCAGTTGTGGCCAGCCCTACTCACTTTTTTATTTATTTAAATGTTTATCGTTTCAATACAATACAGCAACTGGACTTCAATTAAATATCACATAAACTAGCTTAACACAGAATTAGCTTTGGCTTTAACAATATAGTGCAACTTGTATTTATTATCCCTCTTCCTAATCTCAAGGTCTTACCTATACAAATCAAAAATATAACAGCTCTTGGTATTGTTTATTTGTGGGGATCACTCTCCCTACTCACTTTTTCTGGACCTGCTAAGAGTGGGACCAAAGCAGCAGGCAGATAAGGCAGAGATGGAAGGTAGGTAGTGACCCTGCCTCCATGCATAGTAGTAAAGATTTCCATGAGAATCTCTTCAGGAAAATGTCCCTCGTTGTCTCTGACCTTGACCTGAACTTCAGAGGCTTTGGGAAGAGGTGAGAGGCTCTTACTGCTTCCAAATTCTCTGCGGCTCAGCATAGTGTTAGATACAAGGCGAAGGATGACAGCAGCCAAGGTTGGATTGATTTAAATATATTTTCAGTTCCCCAAAAATGTTGTATTTAAGTAAATGATTGAAATCAGGTGAGGTTCCCCCATTTTGAAATGCATGCCTTTTTGAAGAAGCTTGCCACACTAACCATGTTATACGTATCCATGCTATAGCATAGTCCATGCTGTATGACCGACAATAATAAATCTCCGTAGTTTGGGAATTGAACACTTTGCAGGTAGCTGGCAGGCATATTTTTTTATTTTGTGAGATTCTCATCCCGTCAGTTTTCAAGAAACCTCAGGGTAGCATACGTGGCTCTCTTCCATTTTATCTTCACAACAACCCTGTTGGGTAAGCTAGGCTAAGGGGATGGTGCCTGGTCCATGCTTTCAGGTTTATAGTCGAGTGGGATTTTGAACCATATCTACCCAAGTTCTAGTCTGACCATGCTGGCTGTTTCCATATGGACCCGGCCCATGGCTATGCTGAGACACAGGATGATATATCCCGCATTCTCATCTCCTGAGTCAGTAAGAAGGCCAAAGTGATGAATAGTTGTCATGCTCAGTAGACAGATCATTTTTTCCACAATTGTTCGATTCTGATTTAAAAAACAGCTTTTCCAGTGGTACTTTATTGGGTGTGACTCAGTTTTAAGAAGTCATGATTGCAAGCATTTAGCATGCTTGGACAGGCTACATTCAGACTTCTTTTTTAAACCAGGTTATTTCTAGTAAGAGGCTTTTAATGTAATTGAGGTTTTATGGTCAATTTGTTTCTTCCCAAGCCAAAATATGTAGACCAGGGGTGTCAAACATGTGGCCCAGGAGCCGGATCAGACCCTTGGAGGGCTGCAGTCCAGCCCACAAGGCCCTGGTTGTTTGCTGCTTCCTTTTCCAGTTCTGATGCTGCTACATCACAGCTTGCTTTACCAGCCTCTCAATTGCACAGGAGAGATAGATAGGCAAGCCTCTCCTGCAAGGTTTGCAGCTTACAGATACACACCTGAACAGCATACTCAAGATTGCTACAGCACAGACATTTGGGTGCAATAATTCAGAGCAAGAGGTGTCAGTTATCAGACACTGTTAAATAGACAAAATATTGCAAGAGTGCTAGTATTTTAAGCAGGTTTTATTTAAAGTTTAAAAAATCTTTAATTGTGTTTATCTGTGTCCTTTATAAAGTTTATATCCCCAATATCTGGCATTACATTTTATGACACATATGGCCCAGCCCAGCAAGGTCTCATTTATGTCAGATCTGGCCCTCATTACAAATGGGTTTGACACCCGTGGTGTAGACCCTGGTATAGGAACTCAATAATTGGCTAAGTCAAACCATCTTATTTTCCTGGTTGCTTTGTGGCTTTTTTCTGTCCCAGCTTGCTGCAGATCCGGATCCTAACGTGAAAAGTGGCTCTGAGCTCTTGGACCGGCTTCTGAAGGTACCTCTCTTCTTCCAGACTATAGCTGACTGTGATGGGGCAATGGCAAACCAAAATAGGGGTTGATTTGCGGCGGTTTGTAGGAACTGGCGGGATGTCTGCGCCCACCCCTCTGGGCATGCGCAGTGGGGTTCCTGCGCATGCCCGCGGGACTGGGTGTGAAAATCTGTTAAAAGAGCTTGCTACAGCACCGATCGATCCAGCGTGTGCGCACTAGATCCCATGGGTGTGAATGCACAGATGACCACTCGAAGATCACCAGTTACTGGTAAGCAACCTGCTTTTCACGGAACTTGGAAGGCTAGGGATAGGTCTCTGGAATGATTCTTCAGTCCAAAGTGCATGGTGTTGCAATGTAAAGTTCAGAGGGCAACGTTGATTGTCTCTTGGTTTTCTCTGTCCTCCTTCTGGGGCAAAATCGCCCTGTGACAGAGGAGGAAAGAAATCTCAACTGGAGCCAGCAGGAGTTAATAAACAATGAAGGGCTCTTTCTGGAGGCTTTGGCTGCTGCTCTGTGTGAAGGAAGAAAGCGCCATCTCTGCAGCAAATGGCTAGATGGACACAAGCTGCTTATGCCGTTGAATTGACTATGGGTAATGGTTAATGCTACAAATCGGCAGTTTTTCAAATGCCTTCTAGACCCTAACAAGACAACATGTGACACAACTTTCATCTACTTTTATTTATCAAAAATACCAAATGAAACAAAGAAAAAATCCCAAACAGCTGTTGGATCAATTCATAGCTAATTTAATCAAGGCCCTTTAATGGCTCTCACAAACAAATAGTTCTTAGAATAGTCAGATGTTACTTACTGTCCATAATCATCTAAAAATCTGTTCTGTCTGAATCAATATCTATCTTATTTAAGAGCCCAGGAAAAGTGCTCTTCATCTTGTCTGATGCTGCACTTTTAGAGACGTTAATAATGTTTATATAAAAGAAGAAGAGAAGAAGAGATTGGATTTATACCCCGCCCTTCACTAGGAGTCTCAGAGCGGTTTACAAACTCCTTTCCCTTCCCCTCCCCACAACAGACACCCTGTGAGGTGGGTGGGGCTGAGAGAACTCTTGACAGAGACTGCTCTTTTTCAAGGACAGCTGTGCCAGAGCTTGTGACTGACCCAAGGTCACATCAGCAGGTGCAAGTGGAGGAGTGGGGAATCAAACCCGGTTCTCCCAGATTAGGGTCCGCACACTTAACCACTGCACCATTGTGTGCAAACTGTGCAAAGAAGAGGCAAAACTGTTTTGTTCTGGGACCTGTTTTGTTCAACATCTTTATCAGTGATTTGGATGAAGGGATAGAGGGAATGCGTATTAAATTTGCAGATGATACTAAATTGGGAGGGGTAGCAAATACGGTAGAAGACAGAGTCAGGATACAGGATGATCTTGACAGCCTGGAAAACTGGGCTAAAACAAATAAAATGAATTTTATTGGGGATAAATGTAAAGTTCTGCATTTAGGTAGGAAAAATCAAATGCATACTTATAGATTGGGGGAGACTTGTCTTGGCAGCAGTATGTGTGAAAAGGATCTAGGGGTCTTAGTCGCCCATACACTGAACATGAGTCAGCAGTGTGATGCGGTTGCTAAAAAGGCAAATGCGATTTTGGGCTGTATCAACAGAAGTATGGTGTCCAGATCATGCGAAGTGATGATACCACTTTACTATGCTCTGGTGAGACCTCACCTAGAGTATTGTGTTCAGTTTTGGGCACCACAATTTAAGAAGGATATAGACAAGCTGGAACGTGTCCAGAGGACGGCAACAAAGATGGTGAGAGGTCTAGACATCAAGTCCTATGAGGAAAGGTTGAAGAAGCTGGATATGTTTAGTATGGAGAGGAGATGACTGAGAGGTGATATGATAACCATCTCCAAGTACTTGAAGGGCTGTCATACAGAGGATGGTATGGAGTTGTTTTCTGTTGCCCCAGAAGGTCAGACTGAACATGAGTCAGCAGTGTGATGCGGTTGCTAAAAAGGCAAATGCGATTTTGGGCTGTATCAACAGAAGTATGGTGTGTATCATGCGAAGTGATGATACCATTTTATTATGCTCTGGTGAGACCTCACCTAGAGTATTGTGTTCAGTTTTGGGCACCACAATTTAAGAAGGATATAGACAAGCTGGAACGTGTCCAGAGGACGGCAACAAAGATGGTGGGGGGTCTAGACATCAAGTCCTATGAGGAAAGGTTGAAGAAGCTGGATATGTTTAGCATGGAGAGGAGATGACTGAGAGGCGATATGATAACCATCTCCAAGGACTTGAAGGGTTGTCATA